CAGCCAGCTCCACGGATAGACAGATGGACGGGAAGAGGCACAGACAGACAGGAATAAGGCCTGAGGCCCACATGGGCGATGGGGAAGGGGGAGCACCAGCAGTTCGCCTCACCCCCTGCATGCCACCCCGATTCACAACGGAAGGGAAAGCACTCACCTGGAGCTTGGTCCTTGTCCATACTAAAGGGGAAATTACAGGACCGGAAAAAAAGCAAACAAGTGGTTAGAGAAACTCTGCAGACCTAGAGCGTCCCCTCCACGCACGCTCAGCTCCGCAGATCACAGGCACAGGGCACGCCCATTGTGTCCCCGGCAGCCTTGCAGGCAGAGGGTCAAGCCCCTCTGGGCACAGAGCTCCAGGAAGCAGCTGGGTCACCCAGGGTGGGAGCAGCAGCCTGACACAGAGACCCAGGCTCAGCAAGGCCAGTGCCACTGGGAGTCAATGGCCCCTGTGCCGTCCACAGATTTCAGGGGACACAGTCCTGGCCACAACTTGACAGCAACTTCGTGTGAACCAGAGATCCCTAAACTAAGCTACCCCTAGAATCCAGAAATGGCCACCAAAACTGAGAAAAATGAATATTTGCAAGGGTCCTCTGGGCAAACCTGTTATGCAGCAGTTGGTAACTGATACAAGAACCAAAACCTTCAATGTCACCAGCAGCTGCCATGTTCGCCCAGCTGCACCCTGGTCTGAGCCAGCTGCATGCGAAGGCAGTGGAGGAGGAGCAGCCACCAGCTGAAGACCAAAATCAGAAGGGCAGGGGTGAAAGAGACCAATGCCAAGCACCCTTGATGAAGTTAGATGCAGGAGGAGAGCTCGCATCCCTGGCGGAACCGCGCCAGGTCTCCCAGAAGCAAACGGTGCCCTCTCCCCGGCCACACCATGTCCCTGCAGCCTGCACAGCAGCACAAGGCCAGAAATGTTCTGCTCCAGCCTCAGGGTGCCGGAGGGGCCAGCCAGGGACCTGCGGGGGACCTGCATGCTACGGCAGGGCAGAGGGTCGAGAGGGAGCAGGGGCAGAGACGCACAGGTCCCGCCGGCCTCACCTGCTCGTGGTGAGCTGCTCCAGCGACTTCTCTGACCTGAGGCCGCCCTTGGTGCTCTGCAAGAGGAAAGCAAGGGACGGTGGGACCCCTCCTGGAGGGCCGGAAGCCACCCTGGGGACCCAGAGGCTGTCTCATCCCTTCCCAGGGTGCATCTGGGCGGTGGCTGAAGGATGGAGACCATGACTGCTTTTGCCAAGGCAGCTTGAGTCTTGGGGACAGTGTCAGTGATGCGGGTGGCCGTGATGCCTGACGAGGGAGTGAGGGCATTACGTGGTCCCCTCTGATTCGAACAAGCAGGGGCGAAGCCACAAAACTGCTCGGCCCAGTGTTTTGTTGCTTTTTTAATGGGAATCGAACTCAGGACCTTGTGCTTAGCAGGCAGGCATTTATGCCGCTGAGCTGCATCCCCACCCGCTCGCCCGCTCAGGGGAGTTTTAATGAGCAGGTTTAGCAAAGCCCCATGTGGTCACTCAGAGGTGTCACCGTTTGGGATCTTCTTGATACCCCGACTCCCGCTTTCGACACCAACCCACTGCGGTCCTGGGGCGCCTGGCCTGAGGCTCCTGACCCGGGTCACCCCACACAGCCCCCACCAACGCAGGTGTCCACTGGAGCAGACGGCCAGTTACCTCGATAGTGATGACCTCCACCCGCACGTCGGGCGGCAGGGCCAGGTCGGGCTGGAAGCGCCGGGCGAGGGCCACCAGGAGGTGCAGGGTGGCCAGCAGGTCCTTGTTGAAGATGGCTAGGGTCAGGGACGGGAGGGGAGCACAAGTCAGAGCAGGGGCCTCCGCGTCCCCGGAGCCCTCCGCAGGCCGATCACCACTGCCGTCCCGGCTTCCCGCTGTGCTGGGTTTTGGGCTAGCTCTTTGATTCCTGCAATTCTCAGACCACGGCCCAACACATTTCTTGAGGCTACAGCAGGTCCCCCTCATCAACCTCCCCGCTGAAATTGAGGGTGACCACGGGTAGTCAGAGGGTGCAAGCCACCGTGTGGACAGGGGCTGACTTGGGCCATGGAGATGCTGGAGGTGCAGCATGGCTGACACAAGGTGACAAAGTGGCCCACGGACGGTGACTGAACTCTCTTCAGACCTAAGCCGCCTGTGATTTAATTCAGGTCACCACACAGATATCAGCCATTGATGGGGAGGGGACGGGCCCCGGCCACCCGGGTCTGAGAATGGACTTCCCATTACACTGCTGCACTCAACCTTGAAGGAGCCACCCCACTCCTCTGGGCCTCAGTCTGCCCGTCTGGAAGATGGGGAGGAGACAAGACTGAGTGGCAAAATAAATAGATGTCACCATTAGCTAACGGGGTGCTGCGGGGAGGTCTGAAGGTTTTGCCCGCTCTCTATCGTTAACCAGGCAGGAGCTGCAGCTTTGGCTGAGCGGATCCGGGAGATGGGCCCATCCTGCCTCTGGTACCGGTGGACCAGGCCACGCACCGTCCACACTCCACACGTCCTGCGGCTCCTCTGCTCCCAGGCTCTGACGCACAGCCCCGAGCACCACCTCAAGCTTGCGCCTCTGGCTGGCAGTGGTCAGGGCGATTTCCTCAGCCTCCAGCTTGAGCCCCGACAGTGTCTCTGTGGCAGGAGAGGGTGTGAGGCCTGATGGCGGGGGACTGGGCCAGGCTGGCCTGTGGGGCAGCACCGGCCATGCCCAGGGCATCTGCAGCTCTGCCTTAGGAGCCCCCACCCACTGGGGCAAGGGGACCAGGGGAAGGGCTGTGCAGAGGGACCACCCGGCCACCGCTGGGCCTGGGCCTGCACAGTGGCAGCCTTGTGTTCCCGAGGGGCAGTGAGGCCTGGTGGTTAAACCCTAACCCACCCCAGTTTCTTTTTTTTTTTTGTTCTTTCTTCCTCTTGGTGGTACTGGGAAGTGAATCTAGGTCCTGCCCACTGAGCTGCATCCCCAGCCCCTTTTTATCTTTTGAGTCAGCATTTGACTACATTGCCCAGGCTGGGCCTGAACTTGTGATGCTCCTGCCTCAGCCTCCCAGAGTGCTAGAAAATTAAAGGCATGGGCTGCCACCCCTGGCTGAACCCTGCTTTCTTCACTGTGAGACCTGGGACATGGCACTAACCTCCTCCTCTAAAGTGGGGACAGAAAGCTACAGAACTGTTCAGAGGACTGCTGGCGCCTGCCCTGGAAAGAGCCCAGGAAGCCTTTGCCAGACCTGATGAACCCAGCCCCAGTGGGTGCTGAGGACACAGTGCCCCCACCCATAATTAGGGCAGCAGACAGACATGGACCCCAGCCTGGTGCCAAGGCAGGCGGGGCTCCAGGGCTGGTGGAGGAGACCTGCAGGGCTGGCAGTTGGCTCTGCTGGTGAAGGGCTTTGTGGACGGTGTAGGAGGACCCCAGCCCGCCCATCGCCCACAAGGAGTGCTTTCCAGGGGGCGGAGACCCTGGGTTTCCTCATCACTTGGTCCCTGGAGACAGCAGGTGCTTGGTCGATGCCATAGAGGCAGAGCTGTGCAGCGAAAGGCCCCTACTTGACCTCGGACCCTGACGGAACCAGAGCACCCGACCCAGGTCATCTGAGAGCAGGACAGCTGTCCCTTCTGGGGACGGAAGCAGGGGGCCAGGTGGGGCGAGGCTCACGGAAGAGGTGGTGCAGGACCAGCCCATCGAACATGTCCTCCTCCAGGCTGCGGACCACGATGTGCTCCGGCAGGAGGGTGGCGTTGATCCACTCCGTCAGCACCTGCAGCCCAAGGGGCACGGCTGGTGGGGTGGGCACGGCCTGGGCGCTTCCATCCCGCCTGAGGACTTCTGCCAAACTTCGAGGCCTGGCCAAGAGCACTGCCCAGGGAAGCCCTCCCTGATCTCCAGGCGGTTGGAAACTGCTCTGGGCTACAGACCCCACGCAGGACCGTGGGCTGTCATGGGCAAGGTTTCGGAGCCAGGAAGTGGGCACCACTGACCCAGATACATAAACATGGGAACTTGGCTGTGGCACCCGGTGACGGGAACAACTGGGTGACGAGCACCCAATAACAAAAAGCCCAGGTGGCCTTGAGCAGATGCTGGAAGAAATGCGGCCTGGGTGCTTCTGGCGGGGACTCTGGGTCAACCCCACTGTTAGGACATGAAGCAAGGTGGGGACCCATGGGCGTCGGCCAACGGGTGCATCTGCGAGGGAGCCAGGGCTCGGGTCACCATTGTCACACGGAGAGGAGCAGGGGACGTTCCACCGACTGACACCCTGACTGGATGTGGTGCAGGGTTGCTGGGCATGGGCGTGGGTGGGGCGGTGGCACCCACAGGATCTGAGTGGGGAAGGTGGTGCAGGCTGGGAGGCCTCCCTGCAAGAGGCAACCAGAAGGCAGCTTGGAGACTAGAGGGGCAGAGGACCTCGGAGGCTGGGCCCGTTTGGGCCCCGCAGTTCCACAGCGGTGGAACCACAGTGGGCCGGCGCTGAGCACAGGCCTGGGGGTGGCCGTACCTTCTGCAGCTCTAAGAACTTGGGGTCCTTCCGGGAAGCGGGTGGCAGGTATTTCTTCTTTCCTCCTGGAAGCACAGGAGAGTGTGATGCATGTGTGGGGGGACACTTGGTGGTCCTCCTCACCCCAGCAGGTCACCCCATTTCCCTCAAGGATGCCAGTGTCACCCCAGATGCTACGAGATTAGGTTTTGGGGATGTGTGCGAAGTCAGAGATGGTTTCTTTTGTCTCTGACGTGGAAAGGAAACCAGTATCCTGCAGGTCACCAGCTCCCAGGGTCGAGGCGGGCACACAGGCGGCCTGGCTCCCGTGCACGGAGGCCTCTGCGCCCTCTGAGGCCCGCGGCCCCTTCCCCGATCCCTGAGGCCTCACTGAGATCCACAGCACACAGGAGGCCCGTGGAGACCAGCTGGTCCCAATGTTACTAGTAGGGAAACTGAGCCAGCACCTAGCACTGCCTGGCCTAAGCAGCCTTCTCATGGCCCAGGACAGTTCGGGGGCATAGATCAGGGCGCTCCGTCCACCCTGTGTGTCCACCCTCCCCTCCCATCCCACCCCCGCCTGCACCTTGGGGCAGCTCCTCCTCCACCTCCTCCCCGGGCAGCGCCACACCCTTGGGGAGCTGTAGCAGGTTGTAGAGGGGCTCCGGCTCCATCTTCTCCCTGGAGGAGGCGGGGACAGAGGGCAGCATTGTGGTCCCCAAAGCCTTGGCTCATTCTGCTCCCCATCAGAGTGCACTCTGATCCCCCAAACACAGGCTGCTGCTCCTCCAAGCCAGACACCCTGGGGGGAGCTGGGGGAGGGCATGGGGCTGCCTGTGCAGGGCAGAAACAGCTGTGCCTTTGAAGCCCCAAGCCAGAGCCAGGGTGACATCTGGGAGGGACCCCCAGTCCCGAGGGAGCAGAGGGGGCTGATGAGCCAGAGGGGGGCCCCACTCCAGGCAGCTGGGCACACAGGGGACATCCTGAACAAAGGTCTCTCCGTGGGATTTGGGGGTGTAGGGCTCTTGCCCACAAAGCCCAGAACACCCACCCCACAGGGAGGGTTGTTATCCCACTGTCCCTTGTCATTGTGGCAGGCAGTGCCAGGCCTGTCTACCCAGGAGGCCGATGGATGCCAGCCAGGCCCCTTCCGGTCCAGCCACTTCCTCCCTGCAGAGCTCTCCCTCCCTCCACCTGTCCCTCTGCCCCGCGTCTGCCTGGCACCTCAAACCCATTCGGATATTCAGGAGCCGGAGCAGGGAGCCCCAGCTGTGTGGGGCGGTGGGGGCACCCTGGGGCCACACTCTCATCAGACTGGCGGGACTTGGGGGACACAGCCGCAAGGACTGGCTCCGGGGCCCCCATTTCCGGTCAGGCCCTGGCTGTGTGACTCAGGCAAAGCCCTTCCCTGCTCTGTCCTGATGCATTGATGCTGTCCGGGGATGCGGGCCTGGAGTCACTGCTAACGCTCGGCTGCCCCGGGCCTTGGTTTCTTCACGGGCACTGGGACTGCACTGTATAAAGCTGGGGCAGGCGATGACAGGTGGGTGGACAGGACACTAGGACAAGTGGGGTCCCCTCTCGCCACCCCTCCCTGTGTGGCCTCAGATGAGGTGCTGGCTGCCTTCTGTGCCCCCACACCCCCAGCCCTGTGGTTCCTGGGGCTCCCCTGTGCCCTGGGGTACCAGCAGGTGACCGGGCAGAAGGTCCCAGCAGCCAGGGCTCCAGGCCAGGCTCACAGAGACTCACCAGCTGCTCCTCGACCTGGGGATGCGGCCTGGGGCCCAGCGGGTGACCCAGGGTCGGGGTGGCGTGGGTTCCGGTTCCGGGGGCTCCGGGCCCGGGCTGGGAGGTGCTGGTGGCACTTACTTCCTCCGGGGCTGCTCTGAGGAGGCCCGTGAGCGCTTCCTCCTCTGCGGTTCAGAGTTTGGGGCCCCAGGCCCCGCCCACCCAAGGCTCTGCCCTGGGCTGCGCCACCCCACGGCTCCCAAATGCTGGTGCTTCGGGCGACGCCAGCACTCCTGTCTGATTTCGCCCCCCCTCCTCCCACCTTTAGAGCGGCAGAAATGGGGCTCAGCCCCAAGTCCCCACCCTCAGCAGAGTCCGCTAGGCCTCACCTGGCATCCTCCCGCCACAACCCAGACCTCTCCCCCAGCCTGGGCCCCCCCGGGGCTGATCTGTACCCCCAGCCTCCCCACCCCCAAGCAGCCCAGCATGCTCTCTCCTCCTCCTGGTCACCAAAAATCCGGCAGTGGAGCTCAAGAGTCCTTGAGACAAACGCCAGTCTGCAAGGCCAGCTGGGGGCCTGCGTCCATACTCTGGGGCCACACCTGCCTCTACCCTGGTCCCGAACCTCCCCCCCACCTTCCTGCCACGCCAGTGTGTCTTTCCAAGGGATGATCAAAAACATGGTAAATCCTGCGCCACAGGCCACCCAGCAGGAGGGCAGACTCGGGAACCTGAGGTTGGGGGTCCTCATGCACCAGGCCTGCACTGCTGACTTCTGGCTTCCCCTAAAAACCTACCGTGAAAGGGAAACATCTGGAATCGGTTCAGGAGGTCGAGGCGGCCACACAGCACAACTAAACACACTCAGGAAAGAGCACCTCTGGAACGGCTTCGGAAAGTGGGCGGAACCAGGGGACAAGTACGTTGGAAGTGAGCAGGAGGATTCTGAGCGGGATTCACGGCAGTAAAAAATTAAAGATTCACTGATCTTTGGGTCACACTGCAGAGCTGCCGGCGACAGGCGCTCTGGCTGGAATCTGAACCTCATTTCTAAATTACAAGTGGTCCCGGGGGATGTAAAGGCAGCGAGGACCTGGTCACCACGAGAAATGGACCCTGCTGGACCACAGAGTCCTCACCTGTCCGCCCTCTGTGCTCAGCTCCACTAGAGGCCCCGACGCGGGGCTGGCTGGGGCCACCTCACGCAGAAGAGTAGGCGTGGGATGTGTGAGGGTGCAGGGTGGGCTTTGCTGTCTGCTGTCAGAGTTCAACACAGGGAAAGCCCGCCCATTCCCACTCCCAGGCGCCTGCAGGGGCCAGGCGCTTTCACCGCTGCAGGGAGGCAGCTCTCCTGTCCCCGGCAGAGAAGCGGATGCAGGATCCAATCCCGTGTGGAGTGGAGGGGTGACGCGGACCACATTGCCAGCTCACCAAGCCGAGGCATGGAGACCAGGGCTTTGTTTAGAGAAGACAGGGGCACCGGCAAGTAGAAAGGTCTCCCCTCAAGTCTCAGCACCCCAAGTATCAGAGGGGGCCCTGTTCCAGTCAGATGGGAAACTTTGCTGTGCTGGGAAAACTGCATTGCCCTTCAAGGGGGTGTGGTGCTGCAGCTCCTCCTCTCCACCTCCATCACCCCCTAATCCCCGGACTCACACCCTCAGCCGGCTGCAGGCAGCCCAGGGAGGACGGCAGAGCCATCCTGGGGAGGAGAGGGCTGATCACTTCCCCTTTGCCTACTTTCTCTCCTCTCTTCTCCCTGATAGTCCCGGGGATCAAATCCAGGCAAGCCATAGCCCAGTCCTTTTTAAATTTTGTTTTGTATTTTGATAGAGTCTCACCTAATTACTCAGGCTGGCCTCAAACTCCCATTCGTCCTGCAGAGCTAACCTTGCAAGCCCTGCGGAAGGGCTAAGATCATAGGCATGCATCACAGTGCCCACTGAGCTGTTAGGGAGTCCATTGGAAACATGTGTGGGGTGGACAGGGCAGGGGGTGGGGCTGGTTGTGGATGGCCCTGGAGCTGCATTTGGTGACACCAGAGCTCGGGGGCTGGCAGGAACCATGGATGGCTTGGTGGTTGGTTGGGCTCTGCAGTTGCCTGCACTAAACAAGCTCGGGATGACAGCAATCCCTGAGCATGAGGCATTTCATGACCATGTCCTCGCATAGGCCTTAGAGCACAGCGGTGCATGCTGGCAAGTGCTACAGGGACTATCTTTGGTGAGCCAGAAAGGATGCAGAAAGGCCACCACGAAACCTTCAATACATTGAGGTCATTCCAAAATAGCAGTGGGCCAAAGCTGGACATGGTGGTGCATTCCAGTAATCCTAGCACTTGGGAGGCTGAGGCAGGAAGATCATTGCAAGTTTGACACCAGCCTGGGCTATAAAGTGAGCTCAAGGCCAGCCTGAACTTCATAGTGAGACCCTATCTCAAAAAGACAAAAAAATGGCAGTAGCCAAGAGGTCGTACCAATTCACCTAAGACAAGAGGGTGTATCAGTTAGTTTTTGCTGTATAACAAGTGATCCCAAAATTTAGCAGCTTAACCAGTGACAACTCTACTTGGTATATGACTTTGAGTGGGCTGCACAGTTCTCCAGGTCTGGGACAAGTGAGTGGTGTCTCCCTTGTCATCAGTGGCCACTGGGCGGTTGGTTACCTATCACAGCCTCCTTCCCACACCTGGGAGGTAGCAGGTTGTTAGGCCGGAGCTGCTGGCTGCTGCCGCACAACTGTTCACCTTGTGGAAGTGTGGTTTAGCCGCACACCTGGTCACCTCAGCACCAGGGAGACCTATGGACGAGCGCCTTCCAGTTCCCGGCTGCTCTCAGTTCTACAGTTGTCCCGTGGCCGAGGCGAGTTCCCCACCAGCGCTGGAGTCACTGTGGGGAGGAATGACCTCAGTGTGTGGACGGAGGGGAGCGATTCTTACGGCATTTTTATAAACAATATTGCACAGTGGGCCCGGTGGATGTGATAGGAGTGAGGTCAGAGCAGGACCAGAATGCTCCGGCCACGGGGCCTCGGGGCTGTGGACCACAGATCCTGCAGCCCCTGCACCTGAGACAGAGGGGCCACCTGCTGACAACCCACTCATGAAAGCCAGAACTTAGCTCTGTTCAACGCAGGACTGAGCTGAGCCAGAATTGTGGCACAAAACCCGGCCACAGGCCTGACCCATTCCCAGATCTCCCATGTTGGGGGGGGGGGTCCCCAGAGTGGCTGGGGCCCTTCAGGAGGGCAGCACACATAGGAAGGGCCAGGAGGGCGTCTCTTCAGCCCTCTATCCCCGTCTAACAGTAAAAGCATAAAGCAGAGCATTCTTGACCGGTGCTTGGGTGCATCTTGTGTCTGTGCGGAATCCGGTCTGTCTTGGTTACTTTTCTCTTGTTGATGGAACAAAATACCCAACACCTAAAATGAAGGGAAAGAGGTTTATTTAGCTCACAGTGTGTGGAGGGTTCAGCCCATACTCAGCTGGCTCCAAGGCAGGGTGGTGTGGCACAGGGGCAACCATTCGCGGTGCCCTCAAGCCATAAGAAGGAACAGACAAATGAGTAAAAACACGTCTCCTTCCCTGCACGCTGCACGCTGCACGCTGGACGCTGCACGCTGACTCCACCCCTGGGCGGGTGCAGCGCTCACACCACCAATCCCAGCGCTAGACAAGGAACCAATCACAAACGCTAGATTCAGCCTCCTCCATGACTGCATGAGGCGGGCGGGGGCATCCAGACACAACCGGCACACAGTCCGTGAACCCCAACAGCGGTGCTGCTCTGAATATGATTCTGCTCCACAACAAATCAGCAGAGCCCGAGGCTCCTCACATGCAGCTGTCCACTAGCGAATGTCTTTTTCTCTATCAAAATTACAGAGAAAACATTGACCTGGCAACTCTGACCCTCCTCTTTCCACCATCAGTCTGGAAAGACTGAATCATCCTTCCACGGCACCTTGCTAAATCTACACCAGGGATGCCGTCGAGCCAACAGGACCCAACGGGCAAGAAGCAGCAGGTGAGTAGGGAACCGAGATCCTGCCCCCTCGGCCTTGGTGGTGGGCGTTACCAGGTAGATCATTGCCAACCAAGAGCAGCCTGATCCATCATTCAATATGCCCTGCAGAGTTGACCCCTTTCTCTGTGTGTCACAAGGTTACACAAGTGGGAAGCCCTGCCTCGGGTGCCCTGTGGTGGCAGCAGCCCAGGCGCCAGCTGTTTAGTGAGCTTTCTGGGCATATACATGTTGGGTAACCCCTTGCTAAGTGAAGTGTAAGGGTCTGTATCATCGTCTACAACCACCTGGAGGCACAATGCTCAGGCACCTTTGAAATTGGCAGCACACACCTCACAGGGCTGCCCCGGCCCTGGCAGAGTAACCTGCAAGGCTGCCCCACCCCCACCCCCAGAGCAGGACCCAGAGCTGGAGACTTCCACAACCACTGGTGACCCCTGGTGACCCAGCAGGTCCATGGAGGCTGCCAGGAGGCTGGGTGGAGACAGGAGATTCACAGTCCAGGCCCCAGCATCTCCCTGGGTCCTGGGACAGGCTTAACCCTTGACCATGTTGTGATTTGAGTGTGACCCCTCCCCAAGATGTATCTACCAGAGATTTAACCTCCAAATTCACCTGCTAAGTTAGAGCAGGTGGAGCTTGGGGGAGTGAATTGGGGTGCACTGAGGTCCTAAGGGTAGTGCCCCCATGATTGGCTCACCAGCTTGCTGTGTCTCACCATGTGAGCCCCACCACTGTGCTGTGATGCAGCAGGGAGAGCCTCAAGACAGCCAGCAGATGCTAGCACCCCGCTCTTAGACTCCCAGGCTCCAGAACCATGAGTCAGGTAAACCTCTACTCTCTTTAAATTACCCAGGCTTGGCTGTTTTGTTACAGTAACAGAAAACTGACTAAGACAGTCCCAGATGACCATGGGCACGGAATTGCCTATCAGACACCGACTGTCGTGTGATCTGTCCATCTATAAAGCCAAGTGTGTCAACGGAAAGGAGCATACATGGGGCTGGAGTCACCTCTTGGTTATTTTTCTCTCACTGCTGGGACAAAACACCTGACACCCAAAATGAAGGGAGGAAAGGTTTATTTAGCTCACTGTTTGTGGAGGTTTCAGTCCAAAATCAGCTGGCTCCAAGGCAGGGTGGGGGCACTGGGACAACACTTCAAGGAGCAGCCAGCAAAAGCAGCCAGAGCAAAAGACGGGAGAACGAGCCTCTTCTCCTCCCTCACACTATACACAGGCCACCCCGTCCCCAGGGCAGGTGCAGCACTCACAAAATCTCTGTGCCTTCCTCTTGCACAGGCTGAGGATGTTTACACAGTAAGGACCCCGGCTTCCTGCTGAGTCTCTTGGTTAAACCTCTAAACTTCTCCAGCTGACACAGTGCATCACCCCAACTCTCCAGGCCCTAATGATGGGGACGGATGACCTGAGCTGCCATTTCTCTCTCAACCCCACCCCACCTATGGCCTCATGGGAAATTCCCAGAATCTGTGAACTGAAGAAGAAAACACAGGTGGTTTGAGTGACACTTGGCCTCTAGGCCCTGCAGGCGACAATCAGAGGCGCATGCTGTGCTGTGACAGTGTCTTTCAGCTCGGAGCCTCAGGCTCTCTAGCTAAGAGAATTCGGTACCCAAGAAAGGAGTGTTCCCAGCAGAGGACACCATGGCCACCCGGTCACGATGGCCTCCTAATGCACTGGAGCAACAGGAAAATAAGCAGACCATAGTAGGTGGAGATTTTTAAGCCTGATTCTCCAGGGCATGGTGACTAAGTCCGGGTGCAGGGATGCTAGAACCCAGCAGAGCCCTTGGTGCATCCCAGAAGGGCCACGTTGCATGGCGCCCATCTGTGGGAAACAGCCACCTGCTGCTACTCAGAGCCCCGGCAGGAGGGCTCGGGGCGTCCACAGGGAGATGGTGTCTAGCTGAGGCCGGGGTAGCGGGGATGCTGTGAGAGGCAGAGAAGCCCAGTTACCAGTACGCAGGTTCACCAGCAGTTGCAGGAGTAACGGCTGTGTAGCTGCACAGATCGCACACCTGGCTGGTTTCCTACACACACGTAACTTCTGGTGGGCTGGGTGAGCTTTGTGTATGCAGGAGCACAGCGTACACAACCCTCCACGAGCGCACACACACGTACAGAGGAGCCCGGCTCTCCAGTTCCAACTTTGCTGGCGATGCTCTTGGTTGCTAACACCCAAACCTACAGAATGTACAGGTCTGTGTCTGTTTGCACACAGCATTTTTTAAATCCAAACTTTATTTAGGAAACACTTAAACTATATTTGCATCCCCAAATCTCACCATAAGCGTGCCCCTCTCCCCAGGTTGTTTTTACCATGTGTGCTTTGTCTTTGCTTTGTCTGAGCCATGTAAAAATGATCTGCAGGGCTGAGGATGTCGCTCAGAGGCAGACTGCTTGCTGAGCAGGCATGAAGGTCTAGGTTCTGTCTCCTTTACAGCAAAGAAATAGAAATAATTTGCAAGAATGAATATAAGAAATTTATTATGCTCTCACAATAGAATGTTACTGTACCATAAAGGGGAGGGAATTCTGAAACACGCTGCCACACTGACGAACCCCGAGGACTTCACCTTAGTGAAATGCCCGTCCCATTTCTAGGGGGCATTAATAAATCCATGGGGGGGAGGCAGACTGTGATTCCAGGGCAGGACAGTGGGCACTGGGAAGTTACTGCTTAATGAACACAGAGTTTCTGTTCGGTCAGCAATACATTCTCTTTTGGCACTCGGAATCAAACTCAGAACCTTGTGCTTGCCAGTCAGGCGCGTATGCTGTGAGTTAGAGCCCAAGCTCTGGTCTCAGAGGAAAAGAGCTTTGGAGATTGGCTGCACATAAATGTAAACGCACCCAGCCCTCCCGACCTGTCATTTTTAAAAGGCTAAAATGGCGAGTTGTTATCGTGCATGTTTTACCACAATTAATTTTTTAAATTTAGCAAATAAATGCATTGTGGTATCTCGTTTTACCTCTAGATATTTCCAGTGTTTCTCCTAAGAGTCAGGACTCCCTCCTACAAACCACAGCTCCTGCGGTTCCCAAGGAAATTGGCAGTGGTGTACCCTGCAATGTTTCACTCACATTCAAATTTCTGCAAGCGTTAAAAAGAGGGCTTTTATCGCTAAGTGTGTGTGTGTGTGTGTTCGTGTATGTGACTCAAAGGTCCAACCAGGGACCACGCATCACATGTGGTTGCGTGGCTGTGTCTGACAGCTGAGTGTCCACAAGGCCCCCATGAAGAACAACCTTTCGTGAAATTAGAATTCGTGAAGCACCCAGGTCACTTGCCCATGGGAGCCGCCATCTCTGCCACTTTCTGGTCTGCTTCTGTTGACTGGTTTTCTCCTGGTTACAGGTTACTTCTTTTTTTTCTTCTTCTTCTCCTCCTCCTCCTGGGACTTTATTTTATTCTATTTTTATGTTGTTGAATGCTGGAGTTTGTGGTATTCCTTTAGAGGGTGGTAAAATTCCCCTAGCAGGCTAGGTGTGGTGGCACACGCCTGTGATCCTAGCAGTCAAGAAGCCAAGGCAGGAGGATCACTGTGAGTTCCAGCCGACCTGAGCTACACAGTGAGACCTTGTCTCAAAAACAAACGAACAAACATCTCCTGGCAAGCAGTGGATTGTGGATGGCTTAAGAATGCTTGTTTTTAATCTTGACCTTGAAATCTACGTGCCTTCAAATTGGTGAGCCCCTGGGGCACTGTCTGGGCCTCCCCTCCTGACACCGCAGTCCAGGGGTTTTTCTAGGCAAGGCCAGGGCCCCCCACTTATCGCTCTCATTCTGAGGGAGCACAGACCTGCGGTCTAATATCTCCGACATCTGTTTCTTGTATTTTATTGAGCTTTTCACTTATTTCTGCAGGAAAGGCTGCCCATAAACTGAAAATTCTCTCCCCATAAATATTTATTGATCACAAGGAAGAGGCAGATTTTCAGCGCATCTTAACTAAGTAATCAGAATGAACATTATAAAATGCAGGGCAAATCAGCACAGCCTCTCTCCTGAGCATCACGTGCAGAAGAGAAGACGTCAGCCACAATTTCATGACCTGAATCTAGGGAAAAATACTAGCTGCAAGACGCCGTCCTCCAGGAAGGGCATCGAGTCCCAGGCCTGCAGCGGCTGGAGATCAGCAAGGGCGCACACCAGCTCCCGCCCTGAGAGGGACGGACGAGATGACCACAGAAAGTCCCTTCCGTGTCCAAGTTCTGAGGCTGCTGATTCTGCCAGAGCAGGGGGCAAGTGGCCACGTGAGCTCACAGCTCCCCCGAGGCTGGGTGCAGGGAGAGGAGGGGACCCCTCTCAAGCCCTGCACCCCAGCAAGGCGGGAGGTGCGGGGCTTCCTGAGGGTCCTGTGGGGCCCGCCCAGAAAAATGGAACAAACACTTCTATAAAGACAAAGGAGCCAGGCATACACCTCTGCCTGCCCGGCAAGTGTGAGGCTATGAGTCCCATTCCCGGTACCCCTCCCCCAAAAAAAGACAAAGAAGGGGGCAGAGCGGGCCTGGCCATGGGACACCCTCGGCTCTGTTCCTCAACCCAGCCAGCCCCAGGCCACCTGCTCAGGCGTGGTTGTCCCTGCCACATCTTAGCCATGGCTCAGCTGTGCGCTGGCCACTGCAGATCACCTGAGTCCTCTGCACCTTCCAAGGCTCGGGGCTCAGGGCAAGGGTCAGCACTGTCCCCGGTCACTTGTCCCAGGCACAGGTAAACCAGACCTGGGTCAATGTCAGGGAACAGGATCCATTAGAAAGTGCACCGTGGCACCCGTGGCATCTCAGAGGCTGGTGTTTCACCTTCATCAGTACTGATAGGTGCCACCCAGGAATGACACCGAGGCAGGCTGGCCCCCAGGCCTCTGCCAAGCGGGGCTCCCAGCCTCACTCTGCAGACACTGGGGCACGGAGGAGCCCCGATGTCCTGGGCCTCTGTGTCAACAGGCCAGGTCTCACCCTCCCGGGAGACGGTCTTGTGGGGGGCACAGTGGTGGCCAACGGTGGACTTGGAGGTGGGGTGGATGTGCCCCTTGGAGCCCCGAGCTGGAAGGCTTGGGTTCGTTAGACCAGCTATGGCCCCACAGTGACAAAGCTGGATTCAAACCCAAGCCTTTGACCGAAGCCTGGGTTCTTCCAGATACAGTTTGCAGTGGTTAGTTTTTTCCTGTTTTGAACCAGCATCTTCATGTTGCTGTCCAGGCCACCCCAGACATCGCTGTTTGGAGAGAAGTCCTACGCACCAGCCACTTCCCAGGACCTCCACCCTGGAGAGCACAAGGCCAGATCACCACTGTGGGCCACCCAAGGTTCCTTCCCCCAAGCAGTCAAGAGCAGTCACCTGTGCATCAGCCCTGCATTCGAGGCTTTGTGACCTCCTGTCCTTTCCAAAGACAGAGGGCAGGGCCCCTCCCTGCAGCGGTGACCTTGTCCAGCCCATGGCTGGTCCTGGATCAAAGTTCCCAACACACAGGGCAGCGCAGCATCAGGAGGACACAACCCAGGACAACCCGCCAGACGCACAGCGGGCAAAAGAGACAGAGCTCGGCCCTGCGCCCACGTCCTGTATTGGAATAAACAACAGCGCCTTGTGGCACGCGCCACGTGGTCCTTCCCCCCGCCCGTGTCCCTGGCACGGAAGCACCCGGCTCGCGCTGCCGCCCGCTCCATGTGGCCTCCTGCTGTCGGCCGGGCTGCTCCGATCCAAGCACAGCCGGGGTTTCAGTGGTTTTTATTTAATATCCAGAATCCAAAGTAAATGTTTCTTCAAACAATTAAAAAGACAATGCAACCCTGGCCCACACGCAGGGACAAAAGAGGATTCAGCTGTTTTAGAACAAAATCAATTCTCTGCGACAATGAGGACAGCATGGGACCCTGGGCAGGGCTGGGGCTCCGAGGGCGGGGACAGGCCAAGGGGCCATCCTGGGGAGGATGGAGCGTGGGCGTCTGTCTCAGGGCTGTCCAAGCTCAGTCCCGGGGGTGGACACAATGGCCTTGCGGTCGCCTGGTTCCTCTGGACCAGGCCCCACTGCAGACAATTTAAGAATCACAAGAATGGGGCACACAGGCCGGAAAGAGGCTCCACAACTCCCACGAACGTAGACCCAAGAGGGAAGGGTTTGCACCCCAGAGCAGCTCAGAGACAAAGGGAAGTAAACAGGCCCAGGGCGCAAGCGACCCCAGGATGCCCCAGCATCAGGGGAAGGTGTCTCATTCCAGAGACCCCATCCAGGTGACTCCTGCCCCAGCCACCGAACACAGAAAGACTCGGCCTCTATACAGAGAAACGGAACGCAGAGCCTCTGCTCCAGGTCACACTGCGTTCACGGGACAGGGGCAGCTGGGACACCCGACTTCTGCTCCATTCCCTCTCCGGCCCTTGCCACCCCCCAGGCAGGGGTCCCCCCACCCCAAGCCCGCCCGTGAACACTCAGGCCAGGCCCCGCTCCACTGGCGGCATCTGCCACCATTCCACGCGTGTCACCAAGGCAGCACAGAACGTTCCAGCCCGGATGTTCTGTCAGTGTGGCTCTTTAATGTCACGCATCCCGCAGGAGACACCTAATGCTGCTTTAATTATTTCTTGCCCCCCGCTGGGAAACCACCTCCATCAAAGTGGCTATTCGGATCCCATCCCCAGCCTAGCAACGGTGGGAAGCGGGGAACGTTAAACTGTTCCTCAAACTGCGCTGGCATTCAGTCACATACGAACATCGTATTGGGCAGCTCTGGCCTATTGCAGGGAGGCGGGGATCTGAGAGACTGCAAGGGTCATCTGGTCATCGCTGCTGCAAATGCTGAGTCTACAGGGTGGTGGGGCCAGGGACAGGCCACAGAGCAGGGCACCAGAGAGCATGGGCCACCCAGGAAATGCAGCCGGTGAACCCCATCTCTCTGCAGAGCCAAGGCAAGCGGGAGTGAGCTGGCCACACATAAATGACAATATTTCTTTTTGTGGGACACTCTGGAGAGAGACGCCACCTCACTCAGGTGGCATAACGAATACTTCATACGTCCCTGTCGTGGGCTGAGTTGTGGCCTCCAGAGCCACAGGCTGAGGTCCCAATCCCCAGTGTGAGGGTGCACGTGGAGCTGGGTGTACAGAGGGGTCACCAGGGAGGTGGGGGGCAGTGAGGGCCTACCCACGGCTTTGCGCACAGGCAGACAGGTCTCCTCCTGAGAAGAGGTGTCCAGGCACAGACACACACAGCAAAGACAGTGCAAACCCCCGGGAGACGCCGGCCAAGGAGAGGCCTCGGCAGGGACCAGCCCTGCAGCCCCCAGAGCAGCGGCCACGAATTCTCTGCTGCTGAAGCCCCTGGCCTGCAGCGCCCTGCCAGGAAGCCCAGCACATGGATACACGTGTGCGTTCCCAGGTGGGACCCCAGGCCACATCCAGGGCAACTGCACAGCCGGTTCCCGGCCCGCAGCTCCCCGCACCCGCCGCTCCTGTGGGCCAGAGGCGCTGGTCTGCCTGGGTCTTTTGTGCAAATGATCAATCGCAACACAGGATGACCAAAAAGCCACCGGAACCGGGAGTGAAACTCACGTCACATCTAAAGCTTGGCGGACTTGAGAAGGACGTATTTTTAAACCACAAAGCCTTTGACTCAAAAGGCCCTGCTTCCAAGGAGAGCCCATCCCCGGGGAACCCTGGGGACAGACAGGCGAGCCCCGAGCCCCGGGGAGTTTGCACCTGAGCAGCAGTGACAGCAGCAGTGGCACCCAGCATAGCGCCTGTGCTCGCCAGCTCCTCCCCTCAGAGCACACGGGGCCTGGGGGTCAAGGTGGAGAGGGGGCTGGGCTTTTCCTTTCCATCTTTTGATCCAGACCAAGGACAACAGCCTGAAGGGAGGCTTCAAACCGTACATTTGCAAAGGTCCCGAGAGTCACAACGAGAAGGGGTAAAGAGCAGAGACCGGGCTGGGACGGGAGCCCGGGTGCCCGGGAGCCCAGGCCCCGTGACGGATCCCGCTTCTCTCGCCCGGTTGCCGTCCCCGCCACCGTCATCTGCTGCGCCAGTCACTCCACGTTCTTGTACTTGGTGAAGAGGTTGTAGAGCACCCTCAGCGTGGACTTGAGGTCCAGGTTCACCACATCTGCAGAGGGAACCAGAGACGGCGCTGGAGGCAGGACAGAGGCCTCCGAGGTCCTCCGCCTACGGCTCAAAGGCAGCCACAGAGTGGCCACCGCATCCCTCCCGTGCCAGTAACTAATCGCAGGGGCAAGAAACAGTGGATCCGTCTACTCCGAGTGGAACCCAGCGTCCTGGCTGACCTCTGGCCCTCGCCTCCTGCTCCACAGGGCTGGAGGAGGCAGCAGCGCCCTCTACAGACCGGGGCTCTGCATCTCCCCAACACAATGCAGGCAGTGGGACAGGCTGGGGACACTCTTGGGGTGCGGGGCCACAGTCCCTGCCCTCACCTCGCAGAGGCACTGGGAACCAGGGGCAGCACCCCAGATCTGTACTCAGAAGGTTTCGAGAGCCTCACTGGGTCCAAACCCTGAAAAGCCCACCACACTCCGCCACCCTCAGGCTCTGCATGGAAGCACAGGTCCCCATCCGGGGACATTGTGACCCTCAGCCCGTCCCCAGGTGTCCCTCTGGATCCCCAAGACCCCACCAGCCACCTGGCTCTGAGGCTCAGCCCTGTGAACCCCCAGTTAAGAAGAGGTCCTGTTTCCTGGCATGGGGGTCTCCCCAAGGGAGATCCCAGGAAAGCGGGTCAGTGAGGTGACGCTGCCCAGCTCAGACCCTCAGGGAGCAAGTGCACCAAGTCCCTGCTCCTGAGCGGTGGCCTCTGCCGGACCTCAGGAGCCCTCAGGAAGCCCCCAGCCTAACAGATGCGAGGAGAAGCGCTTGGGCCCTGGGGTGGCCGTTAGGGAGCCAGCATGGCAGCCGGGCACTCATCCCAGCACTGCAGACGCTGAGGTTAGGCCGAGGTTTAAGGCCAGTCAGGGTGACACGGGGAAAGGCCAGCAATGCCAGCCCCAGTGGTGGGCACCTCTTGGTCCCTGAGGCATGTTGGCAGCACCCGACCAGCAAGCCCGAGTGCCAAGGCCTCCTGAAGTCGGCACATGCAGCCTGCCGGCCGCTCCTGAGCCCGCCTCACCGCCTGCCAGGCTGGGCTGCCCGGGACTCAGCTGGTACCTTACCTTCCGGGCGAGCCTTGGGCTTTTTGAGCCCCCCGTCCAGCATCAGCTCGAAGGCGAAGGCCACGTTGTGGACCTGCAGAGGAGGAAGAAGTCAGTACTACCACCCATGTCCTGGGCCTGCTGGCCACCTGCTGCTCCCCTTCAGAAAGCGGGGTGATGGTGAGCATGAGGGGGCCTTTACCACAACCACAAGAAGCCCAGGGTAGGGCACAGGGTGACACACACTGAAAAGACGGCTCCCACTCCCCACACCTGTGACCTGGAGCTCAGGATGGAAAGATGGTGCCCTGCCTGCCCACAAGGACCCACGGCCACTCAGTCTCCACCTGCCCCAGACCTGTGATGAGAAACGGGTGTGGTCCCATTTGACAGGTGGAGAAACTGAGGCTTTGGGAGGACAAGTTGCCTGCAGAGACACCCAGCCTGGGAATGGTGTCAGAGCAGCCACCCTGTACCTGCCAGGAGGGCCATGAAGAGCTGGGCACATGAAGGTGGCCCAGAAGGGATGTGCAGGACATGGTGCTCTTGGGCCACTCAGCTGGCACCGTGGACCTTGTTGGGATTTAACCCCGGCCTCCACTGAGACCTGTCTGATACCACAGAAAGACAGATGCCTCGGACCCCGCAGGGCTCCTCCCAGCGATGACAGGGCCTTGCCTCTCTCAGGTCAGGGCCTGGGCTCTTAGTCTGCTCCTGACTGCTGGCCGCACAGGTTAGAACCAGTGACCCTCATGGCTGTTTCAAGGCCGCCCGCAATAGGGTGAACCCGTTCACGCCAGCGATGACCCACAAACCAAACGAGCAGAGGGCTGGGCGGGACAGGGCCTCAGGGCTCTTAGCAACCAGCAGTCCTTCACCCTCAACCGTGCTTTCATGATTTGGGTGGAAAATCAATCAGAAAGCCGGATGATAACTTTATTCATAAAAGTGATTCAATAATCAGCCGGGAAAGCCGCTGACCCTTGGCCAGGGGTCAGGGGTTTCACAGAAGCAGAGGGAGGTCAGTCTGCTAGTGCCCCAGCACGCTGGGCCCCACTGGGCACAGGGGCACTGTGTGGCAGGAGGATAGGCCGTGCCACCCCAGGCTGGGCAGGTTCTGCGACCCCAGGTCCCGCCCGCAAGGATCCCGGCCCTTCTGCTGGCCGGGCAGGACACGGGGACACAGAGCAGGAGTCAGGAGTGGAGGCTGGGGACAGGGGAAGCCGAGCCCGAGCCAGGGTGAAGGAGGGTGAGCCCTGGGCACGGCGAAGGGACAGGAGCCAGGGCGGGGACACGGAAGGCGCAAAGCACAGTCCCCCGGGACCAGAAGAGCACGGAGGGGTCCAGAGCCGGGCACACAGCGAGTCCAGTCCAGAGCCCACACCGTCCTCCACCGGCCCCTGCCTCAGCCCTTCAGCCGCACCCCGGGGAATCTGAGGCACACATGCGTGCACCAGCACACACCCGTGTGCAAAACCAGCTTCAGACAATGCAGACAGTGACACCACGAGAGGAGGAGGAAGACAAGACTTCTGCCCACCAACACTCAGGGCGGGACTGTCCCTCGGCCCACGTGGTCCCTTGCCCTGCTTCACTGGCCCTCGGCCTGCAGAGCCCTTTTCCGGCAGGGAGAGGGGGAGTGGAGTCGGGCCCTGGCAGCCTCGGACAAAGACTTTGGCCCTCATTTGCAAGGGATGAAAAGCTGGGCCGGGCAGCACCGCCACTGCCTGTGCCATTTGCACAAAGCCTTGGCAAGCGACCCAGTTCCAGAGCTGCCCAAATGCACGGCTCTCGTTGGTATCCTGTGAGCCAGAACAAACAGAGGCCGCTCCGAAACCAGGCTGCACCCTCCCGGCTCCTGGGGGCCGGGACCACTGGCCGCGCCGAGCCCTGATTTCTAGGACACGGGCAGAGGTGTGGGCAGCGGGCAGGGTCCAGCCCTCTGCTCCTAAGCCCCTCCACTCCCCCACCCGGCAGCCGCCGTGCCCAGGCCTCGAGTTCTGCTCCGACTCCGGCTCAGCAGGCCCGTCGGGAGCAACATTTGGCCACGAGCGAGCAAACAGGCCGTGCGGTGCCAGGAGCAGGAAAACACGGCCCCGTTCTCCGCTGCTTCCCTGGCTGCCGCCAGCACCCACGCTGCCTGCCTCCTGACCCTCAGGTCTAGCACTTCAGGGATATCAAGCAATCCAGATGGACCCTGGCCCAGGTTTAAAGGCGGCACAGGCTCAACTGCAGAAGCCCAGGCGGGCACAATGCTGGGGCAGGGCAGGGTGGGGTGGGCACCAGGCCTCAAGGACTGACCAGAATAACCCTATCTGGGAAATTTTCCTAAGGACACAACCACGGCACTGAAAACACACAGTGCAAACACACACGCACTGCGCCGTGCCCGGCTCCCTGGCTGCGGGTTCCGCCTCTGCCGATGAGCCCGAGGCAGGTGGAGAACACTGGGGAGAATCACTGCACCTGTGGGGACACGGTTGTCTAAGCCACGCAGGATGGCGGCTCACACAGCCCTGCACTGCTCGGGGTTCGTAAGCCTTCGAGAGACGATGTGAAGCCCAGGCAGGGTGGGGTGGCCTCTGTGCCAGCACGATGGCACTTCATCCAAGAGGCCTGGCACCCACACATTTTGGTGTCTGGGGCACATCCCAGACCCCTGAAGGGCCGAGAGTTGGCTGTACCCCTCGAGAAGACACCCTGTCATGTGAGCAGGAATAAAACAGAAACAGGTCAATGTCCAGGAGCGGGGAGCAGGGGACACGGGCACAGGGCCACACGGGAGGTCTGGGTGCCACCCCCGAAGCAGCAGGAGGAAGCAGGAAACAGGAGCTGCAGGGAGAAGGGGTGAGGGGCGTGGGCAGGACGTGATGTCTGACCACAGTGCCTAAAGGTGACGTGGGCTGTGGCAAAGACCCCGAGGGCGACACGGTGACCCAAACTGTGACACGCCGGCCCCACGGGCTGCTGAGTGGGCTCCAGGTTCGGAATGGTGCAGGGAGGCTGCGCGAGAGCTGAGGGGCCACCCCAGCTGTGCCATCACCGAGGGCTTGGGTCGCACCCAGGGACAGCAACGCTGGCTGGTCTGGGGATTGAACTGGGGCCTCTGCAATGAGCTACATCCCCAGCCGTTTTGGTTTTTGTGTTTAATTTTCAATACAGGGTCTCACTGAGTTGCCCAGGCTGGACTCGAACTTGTGATCCTCCCGCCTCAGCCTCTCAAAGTGCTGGGATTTCAGGTTTGCACCCTGCATCCAGCCCACACCCGTACCTTCTGATCGAAGCTCTCCGGAGTCAGGTAGAAGTTGTGGAGGGGGACAAAGTAGTCCTCCAGAAGGCCCATGAGCAGGATGAGGTACACGCCGTCTGCAAACTGCAGGGAAGCACCTGGTGACATTTCTGGGCAGGCACTCTGTGCATGCTCGAGGGAGGAGGAGGATTCACAGCCCAACAATCCACCCCTCCTGCACAGAGCAGAGAGATCTGGGAGCACGGAAGGCCGGCCAGAATCTCTGACACTCAACTCCCAAACAACAAACAAAGAAGGCAGAGGGGAGGGGAGAGAGAGACAAAGACAGAGACAGAGATGGAGACAGAGACAGAGACAGAGATCTGAAGCAGGGCCGCACAAGGGGCACAGGTCCAGCTGTGTGTCCAGCTGGGGCAGAGGGTTTGCACTGTGAGCCCCAGGCCAGCCTGGGCTACTTAGCCAGTTCAAAGCCAGCCTGAAGGACACCTCGAGACCTTGTCTCAAAAACAAAACAAGGAAACCGTGAAATCAGCAGCACTGGCGAGCAAACCCCTGCCTGGCCCATCCCAGGGGAAAGCGATCTGTGACCAGGCAGCCGTCCTCCTGGGGGATCCCAGGTCACTGCACAGCCCTGCCGAGGGGCAGAGCACACTTGGGCTCCTCTCTCAAAACAGAGGCTGCAGGGCGCATGAGGACAGAGGCGAATCCATTCTAAGGGGCGGTGGCTCCAGGGCTGACCTGAGGAGGGACAGTCGCCCCGGACAGCACTGAGTGTGGGAGGCAACCCCAGGAAGAGATGAGCCTCGGGGAGGCTGTGTGTGAAGACGTCGCTGCGTCGCCGTCCCCTGTGGGGCAGCATGGAAACATCCAACCTCCAGGGGCGGCTGCGGGGGGCAGCATGGCCCACCAGCTGCAGCGACAGCTATTAAGAGTGAGGAGTCTAGGCCGGGCGCGGCAGCCCGTACCTGTCATCCCAGCACTCAGGAGGCTGAGGCAGGAGGATCGCCATGAGTCTGAGACCAGCCTGGGCTACAGTGAGCTCAAGGTCAGCCCGAACTGCACAGTGAAACTGCCTCAAAAAGACAAAAACAGAAACAAAAAGAAGTGACAGAGTCTAGATTGACAGACTGAACAGGAGAGAAGATCTGACAGCCACGACACACGCACACGCGTACACTCACGCTCACACATACACGCACCCACACACTCCTACAAGAAAAGATGTCAATAACACACTCAGGAACAAAAAGCACATCACAAGACAGCAGTGCCGCGTGATCCCGTCATCTGAGGAAAGACATTTATGCTCATCAGCGTCTCAGGGGAGGAACAGCCAACCGCCCCCCACACTTAGTTCCGCCTGGGAGCTCGGAGGGGAGGGCAGGGAGGAGAGAATCTCCACTCCGTGCTCAGCTGGCTGCGGGGCCTTAGCTGTCAGCAGCCAGCGTGCATCGGATGGATGGCAACGGGAGAAAACCTTTGCAAAAACAGGAATGTGTCAGGGACGCACGGACAAACACACGCATCAGAAAACGGACTGTGTGGCTCACGCTGCACACCAGCCGTCCGCGCGCGGCTGGCCACGGCCACGGGCACAGGAGCCACACGGTCACCACAAAACCCTCGGCTCCGTCGTCTCCTGGGACGGGATTACGGGGGACTTTTGTTTATTTTGCTTATCTACATGTTCAGACATTTTCACAGCGAACCTGAATTACCTTTTTAATTAGAAAAGCAAATCAGAGAAATTAAAGGAAGGGAGGGGAATGGGCGAGCCGGCCGCCGGCTGCAGGAGGATCAACTGTGCTTAGAGACGCCTAGACCGAGAAAGCGGAAGACTCCAAATTCAAGCACCCAGCTAATCCGGGGAAAATTATATTTTGCCTCTAATGCTCACCAAGTGCTTGAAAACATATTCTCACCGTGCTCCCTTAGCTATGGGGGTGGGGTCCTCACTGCCAGAGGCAGATTGCCTCACTCACTGGCAGCTATGTATTCAGCATCCATTAAACACAGGCCCATGTGAAAGGGTGAGGGCCCCACCACCGAAGCAGACAGCAGGGCAGAAGTTCCAGGCACAGGGGCCTGTGCATGCAAAGGCCCTGGGGTGGCTAGAGGCAGAGCCTCAGAGGGCATGATGGGTAGAGCTTTGTCTCCCAAAAAGAGAACTGGAGTCCAAATGCTCAGGCCTGAGAACGTGACCTTTCGAAACAGGTGATCCAGATGGGCTTATTACAGAGTTATGGGCTTGGTCCAACACTGCCATGCCCTTGCAGGAAGGGGCAATGCAGACCCAGAAACAGACCTCCTGGGAGAAATTTCTAACCGCCCAGCCCCAGCATTGCGTACCTGGCTCTCCAGCTCTGTCACCTCCAGGTTCAGCTTGTTCAGGTGCTTGTTCACAAACGTGATGAGTGACTGTCAAGGTGGGGGGAGGAGAGGGAGAGAGAGGGAGAGCCCTCAGGGGCCACGCTCCATCCCCACCGGGTGGCCCAGAGACCCCATTTCCCAGCCCTGGCTTTGCAAAGCATGTCCAGAATCTCCCGTTGGCTGAGACAAAGCGGCCAGGCGCAGAGGCGGTATTCCTACGGCAGCCCTGGCCTCAGAGGTGGTGCCCGTGTGCATCCACCTGGAGGAGCCACACGCCTGCCCACCCACCTGCGGCTCGGCTCTGACCCACACACCCGCACGCCACGCTCAGCAGCCGCGTAGGACACCAGGGCTCTCATGCATAAAGCCACCAGGAAAGAGTCAGCTTTCCAAATGTATCCTCAACGTGACCCTGGATGCCAGGGAGCAGGCTACCCCTCTCATGCCCAACGCATCGTGCCGGGGCATCATCCCAGGGCTGCAGGGTGCCAAGGGCCACTGGCTTCTGCCAGGCAAGCTTCGTGCCCCGTGATTTCTCAGTGATCAACCCCACGGCACCGCAGCCCCGCCCTGGCTGTGACACCCTCCATCTGGGTTTGCTGAGGAGGCAGGACTTAGTGCCAGGTGCAAGGCTTGGTGCTGGGGACGTGGAGACAGGGAGAGAGTCCAGTGGTACAGATACAGATACCATGGGAAGAGCCCTGTCTGGGAGGGCAGCTCTGCAGGGCGTTTCCTGCGCAGGTGGAGGAGAGGAAGGGGGACCCCGCTGCAGCCCCAGCTAAGAGGCAGGCGGGGTGGGCCAGATGCCCCCGTGAGGCTCTGGCTTTGGCCTGCGTCTGGATGCGCTGGGGAGGGGTGCCAGGGAGATGACGGTGCCCCGGCCTCATTCCAGGGCACAGGGGGCACCCATACTGCAACTGGCCGTGGGGGTGGGGGACGGCAGGCTGTGGGCAGGCAGCCTAAGGCAGGTAAAAGGCCTCGCTGCTCTTCCGTGCCCACAGAGGCGCCTCTCCCGGGAGATGCAGGCTGCCCTGGGCCTGTCGGGAGCACGCAGTGTGCCCAGATGTGACTGCGGTGCCCACCCCCCACCGTGCCCCGAGTGGTGGGTAAAGTCTCTCTGCCCACACTTCGCTGCTGGGGTAATAGGCTGGTGGGGTCCCAGTCACAGCCAGCTGGGAGGGCTTCGTTTAGACTCTCCCACGAATGCCCACTGGGCGGGTGCTGTGGGGCCCCGGGGCTAGGAGGGGCGAGGTGGGGGGCGGGGCACCCTGCTTTGGGCCAAGGCCTGGCAGCCACAACCCAGGCAGGCTTGGAAGGCTCAGCCCAGCCCAGAGGGTCACCTGCAAGGCTGCACCAGGAGCTCTGGGCTCACCCTGTGACCGGGGCCAGTGTTCCCCAACACGGGGTCCACAGGGGGTCAGAGGCCCTGCCCCAAAGGAAGACAAACAAATGCCACTCTCCTCAGCGGTTTGGAGAGCACTTCAGGGAGCCCTCCCTGGGAAGTCAGGATGGGATAGCAGGGGACAGCAGGGCCAGGTCACCCCCTGGCAGGTGCTGTGGCCGCCCTGGGTCAGCAGGAGGAGGAGAAGGACGTCTGCAGGCCTCAGCTCCCTAGGGAACAGCCCTTCCCAACAGATGCCCCGGCAGCTGTAGCCCACCAGGACTGCAGAGGCTTGTGGTCCCCAACAGGAAACGGCCAGGCACGGGAGCGTCCGCCCTGCAGGAGCCGGGAATGCAGCTTGGTGGTAAGGAGGCCAGCAACGGCCAGCAGGCTGACACCTTAAAAACATTTCCACACACACAAGGCGGAATGAACTGCCCTCTGCTTTAGAGGGAGAGCAGAAGCCACCGAGGGGGCAGGGACACGGAGTTAAAAGGGGCTAATTTTATGTACTGACGGTAATTATGCTTCAGACCAGGGCCAGCCTCTCAGAGTTCCGATATTTGCCCACTCTCTCCCCACAGGCGGGAGCTGGGGCCGCAGCAAGCTGGGTGGGGAGACACGGGGGCCTGGAGCAGAGACCGAGGGACCCCAGGGGAGGACACAGCCCCCGCCCACCCCTTACCTTCTTCACCACAGTCAGCTTGTCTGGGGCGTGGTCGAAGAGGGTGTCAAAGGCGTCCCGCTCTGCCAGGAAATGTAGACACGGTGAGGAGGTCACAGGCAGCCTGGATGCCGCCCTGACCCCCAACATCCCAGGGACCAGCCAGCTCTGACCCCTGCATGTGCAGCCCCCCACCCTCCACCCGTGCCCACCAGCATCCCTGATTTCCCGCCAGAGCAGTGGGGGGCTGGAGCAACCCCAAGGCTGGGCTGAAAGCACCTTCCTTGGGGCACCACCTACTAGCACCCTGACTTCGCAGGGATTGCAGGAGCACATGTGGGCACTTCCCAGGCACACTGTACCTCACCCTGCCCCATCTCCAGGGAGTCTCCCCTGCAAACCGTGAGGGCCACCTCTAACCCAGGGAGCCACAGCTCCCACACACCCTTCCATGCCCTCCCTGGCAATCACAGCCCTTCCGGTATCTCTGGACCACTTCTCTTTCCACTCTGCAAGCCCACCACACACCCAAAGGCATCTCCTCATGGAGCTAAAGTCCATTTTCTTTCCCATGGGCCTTGGGCTCTAACGGGCTCAGTACTGTGCTCTCAGATCACCCTGGCATCCGGCACACATCTGCCTCAGGGCCTTTGCACCTGCTATTCTGGCTGCCTGTTCTCAAGGCCAGCCCCTCTGAGGCTCCCTGCCTCCACTCTCCTCCTGGCTGAGGTCTCTCCCCACTTCTCCAGCACTGCTCAGATGTGTGTCATTTTGATTTGTCTGCTGTGCACTGCCTGCTGGGCCATCAACTTCCCCCAGCTGGGCCACCGACTGCCTGCTCACAGAACACTGGAGGCTGGCAGCTGGTGCTCACAGTCTGTGACAGTGATCCTGGGGGATCTGCCTCTGGGAAAAGCTTCGGGGACAGGCAGCTCAGGTCTCCCCAAGCTGTCCCCTCCCCCTCCTCCCCAGGAAGTCCCAACTACTCTGCTGCTGGCACAGGGTTTGGGGAGTTGCCACCAGGCCGGAAAGGGGCAAGGAGGCATTCGGGAGGGTCCCAGGTCTCCAACTGCTACCCTGGAGGTCCCTGGGGGACAGTGGGTGTCCTGAGACAAGGCCACCACAGAGGTGTGGGCAGAGCCCAGGAGCGCAGCCTCCGGGGTGGGGTGGGGGCCAGGCCCAGGAGGCCACTCGCACCCAGCCTGGCCCAGCCACGCCCGGAGCCTCTTCCCTGGCTTTGGGGGAGAGGATAGCAAAAAAGGGACAAAAGCTTGCATGGATGTACACGCGTGTGCGTGTGTGTGTGTATGTGCACGTGTTGGGGGAGGGGAAAGGCCCTTCCACCTTGGTGCCCAGGTTGCCCTCCCAGCCCTGCCCTTCCTGGGGCAGCAGCTGGGAACCATCTCCATAGCCACCCAGGTCAGATTCTGCCACAGGACAGCCCTAGGGGTGAGAACAGAGCCCGCCCTTACCCACACCCTGCCGCTGCACGAACTTCCCCCGCAGCTTCGGAGGAGCCCAGGAGCCGAGCCCGGGCTGACGTCAGCGGTATATTTAGCTGGGCCACCGCTGGGCTGGCAGAGGCAAGACACTGCTCACGCCAGCCAGCCACCCACAGCTCCCCTGGACCTGGGGACAGGTCACGTGGCCATGTAGCCTGGAACGGCAGAGGACTGGGCCACACGCCTTTGTGCACCCCTAGAGGGGTAAAGATGAATGTGGGTGAGGGTCCCAGCTCCACAGCTGAAAAGCCACAGTCTTAAGGTGGGCGGAGTGGCACACTGGGAGGCTGAGGCAGGAGGATCCCAAGTTAAAGGCCAGCCTGGGTGATTTAGCACCTTAGCAAGATCCTGCCTCAAAAAACAATTTTTTTTAAGCTGTGGATACCGTCACAATCCCCCGCATAGCAAAGATGAACAAAAAACCCCTCAGAATTTAGGTGAATGTCTTCCCTCTCCAAACCTGCTTCTATCAGCCCTGCCCCTGTGCAGGCGTTAAAGCAGGTGGTGACCCGGGGACCAGGGACCAGCACAGCCCAGCTGCACCCCTGGGCCCCGGCACTGTCTTCTTAATGAGGATTTTGCGGTTGTTTTAACAGGAAGATTGGCTCTGAATTCTGAACCTCCGGCTTCTGTTGGAGACGGAAGGTGTGGTGTCAGGAAGCCCCCCGGGATGCAAGGACTCAACAATTTCCCCCACTGCCACCCCACACAGAGGCTGAATGACGGCAGTGACCTGGTCATGTCCCTCTCGGCTGTCCCTGGGGGCACCCAAGTTTGGACTTGTGAGCTGGAGCCTTGAAACCTGAGCTGGGGCTTACAGCGGTGAGCGGAAGAAGAAAGGGGGTGCCAGGCTAGTGGGGGCACACCTGTAATCCCAGCCCTCAGGAGGCTGAGGCAGGAGGACATGATCTCCAAGTCAGCAGGACTCTGCAGAGAGACTCTCAGAACGGAAACCAAGGCCTTACAGGCAGAGAGAACAGAATGTGCAAACGAGCCAGCCCTGTTTTCCCCTGGCACAGGGCAGCTGAGGCCAGCATGGCGCCCAGGGGTGGTGATCTTGGGCAGGAATTTTAGATCCAGCTCTGCTGGAAGAAGTGAAAGCCATGAAGGGAGGCCAGGGTGCCAGCCAGGCAAGGAGCGATTTGCAGAGCAGGTCCTCCCGCCTAGTGCCAGGGCCCACATGGCCCCAGGAAGGAGCTCTGGGCTTCCAGGACATGGGGGGAGGGGTGCCTGCCAGGGATGAGGCAACCAGCAAAGCCGTTGCCACGGAGACCAGCTACAACCTCATGCAGGGGTGTGAAGAGGCTACTCCCCAGCCCACCAGGGCCAGGACAAGGAGGGTGCAGACAGCAGGTGGGGCAGGGGGAGCCCAGCCACCTGCGGTGTGATGAGGGGACTGGGGGGCCTCCCTCCGGGCTGAGTTAGCAGTGGAGACCTCGGCTCCTGGCTAGCCCACAGCGGGCCGCTGGGCTGTCAGGGAGCTCCTGGAAGGGCAGGAGTGCCAGCTAATGCCAGTGTGACCAGGGAGTGCCAGGCAAGTGACATGTGGCCAAGAGCAGCAGGGGGGAGTCACAGAGGACCTACAGGGAGAGCAGCTCCAGAGCTGGGCTGGAAGAAGCATCTGAGGAGCCCTGACGACAGTGGGGGGACACAGCACTGGGCCTGAGCAGGGGAGGGCAGGGATCAGGGTGCTTTATGATCCCCTTGCTGCAGGAGACAACAAGCTGGGCTCGGTGCCCCTGGGAGGACGCAGGGCCCCCAGGAGGCCTAATGAGCAGCCCTGCAGGACACTGAGGACACAGAGGGACGGGAGGCCAGGCCAGGCCAGCAGCAGCATCTCTAGGAGACTTCCTGCTGTGTCAGTCCACAGCCAGGAGGCAGGGGCGGAACTAATTGCCTGTCACAGCTAATTGCCAGTCCCTCTCCGGAGCACAGGCCTCCACAGAAGTCCCTGGGGCACCACAGCCTCTGGCGTCCCACACTGGACCATGACCTGAGGGCCACACCCCAGGCAGTGGCCTGACTCCTGTCCCCTCGGATGCCAGGCACGGGGAAGTGCAGGTGGCCAGGAGCCCAGTGCTCTGAGGTCCACTTGGAGAACCCGAATGCAGTGGCAGCCCTGGCCACCTGGGGCAGGCACGGGCAGGCACGGGCAGGGGGTGATGTCCCATGCCCTTGGGCGCCCTCCTGCTCTCTCCCTTGGTGACTATAAACAGGAGGCTCCCTGTCCTCCTGTATGTGTTGGTTTATTTTACACAATAGAGACATGGGAAAGAGCTGAACTGCTCTTTTGAAAACAAAACAACCCCGCGCCCTCCCCCAAGGCCACCAGCTTCTCAGCAGGGCCCTGGAGAGTGTGTTAACACCCTCACTTGCTACACCAAGACCTGAGCACCACACCCACGCTGCTGGGGTGCTTAATAACCTCCAGATAATAACCCAGGGGTCTGCTCTCCCTATGCAGGCTGGGATGCCCTACCCCTAAACCCCCGGCACGGCTGACTCCAGCTGTCTCTGAGGATTTCAATGCTGCCTTGAACCCCTATACCTGAGTGGAGGGGCCCCAGGCTTTCACAGGGACAGTGAGAGCCATCGAGTGGCCCCTCTCTGGGGACAGCCCCCAAAACATTCAATAACCAGGCAGCTCCCATTTTCCCAATCAACCCTCACAACAGCTGCTCCCCACCACCTGCCCCGGCTCCAGAGAGCTGACCAGCGCCCCAGCACCCCAACCCAGAGAGACGTCCTAAACCAGAAAACTTCCGGGGGCAACCTAGGCACGAATGCCCACCGGAGAGGGCGGCCCTCGCTCCCCGCTTCCTCTGCTGATGCCAGTCCTCACGGTCCACTCCCTCCCTGGCCCTCCATCCTCACCCACTCCCCCACCCGAGACCCCCACACCCCACCCTGACACGGGGCTGGAAAGTCCACTGGTCCAGGTCCCCATGCCCAACCAGGTGACCCTGGGAGCTTCCTGCGACACCCTCGGGTGCCGGCGACCGTCAGACTCCCTCCACCCACATTGTCCCAGCCAGGTCACTTACCAAAGCGGCCCATCATCATCCTGCAGCCAGGGGAAGAGAGAGAGAGAGAGAGAGAGAGAGAGAGAGAGAGAGAGAGAGAGAGAGAGAGGTCAGGAGGCCCCTGGGCAGGCCTGGGTGATAAGCGGCACTACAGGGCAGGCAGGTGACCACAGGAAGCCACCCTGCTGCCCGGGGAAGGGTGACTGCAGGGACGGGCAGACAGGACATGCTTTCAGGAGCAGTGACGCTAAAGGGCCTCAGCCCCCAGGGCTGGGCTCTGGAATGGGCAGCACAAAGGACCATGATGCCCACTGGGGCCACACGGTCCCTGCCGGCCTGAGAGGCGGGGGAGCTGTTTCACTCCGACCCCTCCAGGGGTTTAATTAATAAACATTCACATACAGATGCACTGGTGCAGGCACCAAAGCCAAACACCATCTGGAGATGGACACCCCTGCCCAGCCCTGGGGACGCCGGGGAGAGACAGGGAGCGATGCCTAAGCCAACACTTCCGTGTGGGCCAGGCACCCAGAGGCAGAGCATGCAGCATCCGCCCTGGGAACTGCCAGGAAGCCAGGAGGGCCCCCTGGAGGGGGTGACCTCATGTCCACCTCCAGCAAGAGGAACAGAAGGTCCTGGGACCAGGTGAGAGCTGACGGTGACCTTACCGGACCCCAGGGCCACCCTCACTGTGCAGCTGCCCAAGGACTGAGCCCTGGATGCTCCCTTGGGATTCGGGGCTCCTGGCATCCTGCTGAGCGGCCTCCCAGGACCCCTCACGCCCTGACTCTGCCCCGAACCTCCCCACAAATGTGCTCAAACCCCGACTCCTCACCCCCAGCTCTTTCCACCGGTCCTTTCCCCAGGCTTGGACACCCTGGGAGCCACACGAAGGCCACCCATGGGCGTCTCCTGGAGCACCCTGACTGCACACGTGTCAACACGGTCCCATGTGAAACAGGCCAGGGCGTGAGGCACCTATGTGGTGGATTTTAAACACCCCATGCTGGGTATCAGAGGGCTCCAAAAAACCACGCACCAAGGGTAATATTTGACTCCCTATGATCGGTGGCTCCGGAGCTTTTGGGGCCTGGTGAGCCCAGCTTCCAGCTTTCTGTAAGAGGCGGACAGGGCCGGGCAGCGCCAACTGGGCAGCGCCAGCCAGGGGGAGCTCAGTGTGGTCATGCGGCTCCTCCCTCCGAGGGGACAGACGTTGGTGACAGGTCTCAGAGACCACCCTGAAGCAACAGCTTCCGCCCCAGCAACTGCTCAGAGCTCCTGACCCAAGTAAGGGAAAAAACACCTGAGGCCTTGGTAAGGACGGTGGGCGGGGAGGGAGGAAAGGCGGGCAGAAATCTGCGGGCACAGCCCACCCTGAGACCCAGGCACCCGGACCGGAAGTCGCAGGCGGGGCCACTTACTCTGTGGTCGTGGTCAGCTCCTCTGAGACGTGGCTGGAGTGGAGCAGGCCTTCCCGCTTCTGCAAACCCCAAAATTCAGAAATCATCACCCACGAACTGGGCGGGCAGAGGAGTGAGGGGAGGGCCGGAGGGGCAGGGGGGCAGGCGTCACAGGCAGACAGACACCCAGGCAGGAGACTGGCTTAGACCCGTCTGGGCCAGTGTCCCACAGTGACCATAGGGGACCCTTGGGGCAGCTGCATCCTGCGCCCCCGACCTGCTCCCCATGCTGTTCTCCACCCAGGAGAAACGGCCAGCTTGGGCTCCCACGGGGTTACCAGTAAGATCAGACATGTGCCCTGCCCTGAGCGGGTCCCCAGTGCTCAAGGCCACCCCAAATCTCCACATGCGATCTCTCTCGGAAAGAAGTCTTTCCAGACGCTAGGAAGCAGGAGGCCACACTGGATTACAGTGACCTTGAACCCAATGTGATAGACGCCATCAGGAGAGGAAAGAGACCCAGAGGCATAGCTGGAGAGAGGTGGCCACAAGCCCGGGGGAGCTGGGAAGGGCAGGAGCAGGGCGTGGGCCCTGCGGCCCTGCAGACACCTCGATTTCAGACTTCCGGCCCTCAAGAGTGAGAACCGACCTGCTGTCCATAGCCTGGGGAGGCTGACAGGGGTGCAGGGGTACACAGAGGTGGGGGCAGGGCGATGGAGGGGTAAGCCCACCAGTCACCACTGCACGCCCCTACCTGCACCTTGGAGGGTCGAGAACCCGCTTCCCGTAGAGGCGGCCCCTGTGGACACCGTCTCTGGTCAGCGCTGCCCTCCCTGCCCTGAGCCCTCAGCTTCCTGAGAGCCTCCCTGGCCGGGTTCTCAGGATGAGGCGGGCCCAGGACTTGGCTCACGCAGTCCCACACCAAAGCTGGCGGCAGCTCCTCCCAGATGCTGGGCCCCAGGCCGAGGCATCGGAGACACGAAGCCTAACAGGGCAAGGTCTGTAGCAAGCTCTCAACTTGGCAGGGAAGTCCCTGAGCTCAGAAGAGCGGAGCAGCCTGCCCAAGGCCGCCTGCAAGGGGGCAGAGGAGGGCCTGGATTTCGTCTCTTCCATCCAGGAAATGACACCTGCCGTGTATGTCAGATCGGATAACCAGTCACCAGAGCCGAGCCCAGAGGCGCGGGGACCTGGGAAGGTCAGCCAGCTGCCTGGCTTCTCCCCTCCTATCCCCGATTCCTCCACGGTGGGCACGGACCAAAGAATCCTGTGACCCTGGTCAGGCAGAAGCCGCCAGCGAGCACTTGCTTGGGTCGCTCAGACTTTCCGCAAACCTAAATGATTTTCTTGGACAGCAGCGCAAGCCTGAAAGGAAACACCAGGACAGCGGGCCACGCAGGGCTCCCGAGGCCCGAGGCTGACGTAGGTGCCTGGGCAGCCTCTCCCTGCAGGCTGCCTGCGAGCGTGCACAGGTCCAACAGAGGGACCGCAAGAATGGTCCCCCCACCCCGACCCTGGGGCCTGCGTCACTCCGCCGACCACAGACGTTCTCGCCAGGAAGGAAGCGGGGAGACATGGCAGGTGACCTTTGCCAGAGGCCAGCAAGGGCCTTTCTCAGGGTAACGCAGGGGTCAGGTGGCTTCGGAAAACACAGGCTCAGCCAAATCCTCAGGACCGCAGAGACCACGGGACTAGTAAGTTGGAAACCCGGAGACCAGTGCGGAGTCGGATGTCTCAAGTAACACACACGCCAGGGACATCAGCTCCCGGCACAACCTCAGCTCTCTGGCAGTGGCAGCTGCACCCCAGGCCTGCGTGTGTTTTTCTCATTTAGGGTCCCCAGCCACCCAGGAGAGTACGTGGTACCCAGTGGGCGCTTAGTACGCGCTTATGGTGCTGTACACTCAGTGCTCCTAGCAGCTACAGGGCACTCAAAGGAGAGGGCAATCAACCCTCACAAGGAGCCTGGGCTCCGCCTCTGCTTCTGCCGGGAAATCAAGAAAAATGACCTAAAACGGAGATGGTGGGGGCCGAGAGCTCTAATACGCAGGGAACGCGAGCGTCTTTAATTTGGGTATCAATTTCACCCCGCCGGCCTCAACCCCCTCCGGCGAGTAATAAGCACATTCAAGGGGATTGGATTCCGACTGGCTGGCTTCAGAGAGGAATGAATGTCTTTTCAAAATTCTGGAAAAGGAGACCTTAACACTCCTGCCTCTGGTTCTGCCTTTCTCCAAATCAGCGCTATTGTTTCCGCAATAATCACGTAGCTCCAACCCAGGGTGAGCCGAGCATTTTGTTAGGAGGAGAAAATGGAAAGTGGCCTCTCGGGAGGAAAAAGAAAAAGGCAGAGGGTGCCAGGAGGGTGCCAGGAGGAGAGGGCCAGGCTGCTGTGGGCGGTACTCACCCGGACGACCACCACCTGCACCGACACGTGCTCGGGCAGGCGGATCGGGGCCTGGAAGTGCATGGCCAGCGACACCAGGAGGTGGATGATGGACACCAGGTTCTTGCCGTGGATGGCTGGCCGGGGTGGAAGAAGGGAGGCCCCCGTCAAAGCCAGGCCCGCATCCAGCAGGCCCAGGCCCAGCGAGACCGAGGAGACCCGGATGCAAGGAGCATGGAAAGCAGGGTGGACCGACGTCCCTGGGGGCTCATTTCCAGTTTGGGTTTTCTTTTCCTGCTTTTGCTTTTTGTTTTTTTGTTTTTTTCTTCCTTGTTGAGTGAAGGTGACTTGGGCCACCGCTTGCAAAGCTTGGTGTCCAAGCCCTTTTTAAAAGCCTCGTGTTTTTAAAAGCAGTGTGGGGAGGACAGGTCACAGCTGCAGGCGCCTGTCATAGTCACGCATTATTATCTCCGCCACTGACCAACTTCCCCTTCTGCACAGGCAGCCAGCCCCACGGGGTCAGCGTCAAGGGCAAGCGCTGTCCTGGGGACGCCTGACAGGGATCCTGCCCTGCCCCAGCCGGTCCCCAGCTGCCCTACCCCCTGTCTGCTCGCCCTGCTGTGTACCCATCACTGTCTGTGCAGGCTTCACATGTGGCAGGCACCCGCTCCCCTCAGCCTGTGACAGTGAGGCAGGGCGGCTCTGTCCAAGGTCACGTGCCCAGAAGTGGGGGCCAGGGCCTGAGGCCCTCTGAGGAAGAGAAAGAGGACCAAGGACCACTGTCCAGTCTCTTGGCCGGCTCTTGTCTGTGCTGGGAACACTGTAATGTCACCTCGTCCTAAATGCAGCCTCCCTGAATATTCCCAAGGCCAGCATGGGCTCCTGGACCTGCTTTGGGGTCGCCAGCAAGACAGCTCACTTAGCACCACCAGCACTTTGGGTGACTGGAGTTGGGTTCTCTGCCTCCACAGCCCCAATCGGCCCCCTCAGAATCAATCCCCAGCTTTGAAACAGGGAGAACACAGAACCGCTGTGTGCTAACATTGCTGCAGTGTGAGCTTGGCCACCCAGCATCCTAAGGACTGGATTCTCCCTAGGAGAGCAGCAGGGTGAGCTGGTTTTTAAATGCAGAGGGCAGGCTGCCCTGGTCCCCTCCCCGGGGCACTCACAGTCCACGTTCCACCGAAGCGCCCAGCCGTGGGGCCGCAGCAGGTCGTGCACGGCTTCCAGGACCGTCTGCAGCTTCTGCCTCTGCCCTATCTCAGACTGGGTCACCTCGGCCACATCCAGCTTTCGGTCCGCCAGCTTTTCTGCAGAGACAGAGCAAGAGTCAGAGCATCAGAGAAAGCTGCAGGCCCCAGAGCTGCCTGGCCGTCGGTGGCAGGCGGGGCACCCAGGAACCCTGGACTCTGAGGTCATTCTTATCCCCGAAAAAATAGTTCCAAGGAGGAAGTGAGGCATCAAAGACAAAGCAGCGTGTCTGCGTGGGAGCATCCTGTGCACACACAACGGGAAAATCACTCAAGGTGCAGATGGGGGAGAAGAGGTGACCCAGGAGGCCGGGGAAGGAGTCCCACGGGTTCCCGCAAGGTAGAGGCATTTGATAAGGATAATAAAAAAGCCCCGAAAAGCCACCTCTGCCTCGCCTCGAACCAGGACTCCCATTCCCAGTTCTCTAACATTTTGACACCACGAGAAGACATTTGATTAGAAATCCGCAGAACTCGGGACTGCGTGATTTCCAAGCTGAGCAGGAAGCAATGTAAAGGAGCCCGGGCAAGCGCTGTCACATACATTCACGATCCAATTACCGAGACAGAGGCCGGGCACAGCCCTGGTGCCTTCAATTTCCCTCGGGGGCAAGTGGGGCTGCAGGGGACAGACGGGGACAGGCAGGGACAGGCAGGTGAGCGGTAGCTCGGTGGGCTGCACCAGCTAACAGCAGCACAGCAGGAGGCACCCAGGGGACCCTCCTCACTTTGAATTCCAAGAGAGGGCGCCTCCTGACAGATCTCCAGCCACACAACAAGAGCCGGACAGAGCATCGCAGCACAGGTCATCTGCTCTGGACCTGACCCCTGCCGGTCGTCCGTCCGCACTGAGCAGCTGTCAGCCACGCCACCCCAAACGCCTCAAGTCCAGGCTGGTCACTGTGGGCTCTCCACGCTGCACATGATGCCCACACAAAGCCCCTTGGGGGGCTCGGGGGACACCAACACTCTTCTTGCATTCTCTCCTGCCCCAGGCAGGACAAGCAGCTCTGGGGTCCCCTGCAGGTGAGGGGATCACTGGCAACACCGTGGGGCTCAGCACACCTTCAATCAGCCACTCATCTGTTCACCCACAGAACAGCTACTGAGCCTGCTGATACACAGGCACTGCCCTGGGCGCTGGGCAAGCACGGGCAGCAGAGGTCACAGTAGGGACATGGTGGGTGCGGGTGACGGCCACCGTGAGTGAACAAACTAAGTAAGATCGCTGCCAGGTGTGGTGGCACAGCCTGTAGTGTCAGCACTCAGGAGGCTGAGGCGGGAGGCTCGCATGAGTTTAAGGCCAGCCTGGGCTACAAAGAGAACTCACGGCCCACCCAAACTGCTGAGTGAGATCCTGTCTCAAAAAAATAAATAAAAACAAAAAAATAAGACCAGGGAAGCAGAGGAGAGTGAGGAGACAATCAGAGTTTGTGGGAAGTGGAAACAACCCCCAGCTATCTCTAGTAGTTCTGGACTGGACAATGCCCAGCAACCTACATGGCCACTCTGAAAATACAGACGTCAGCAAGAGCCAGCAGAAGAGCCAGCAAGACTCATAGATGTCCAACAACCAAGCACAGGGCAGACAGGGCCCTTGGGGAAAGAGGGGCAGGGTCCACAGGAGCCCAGCCATCAGGAGACCAGCACGCCCCACCTGTCCCCCGCCGCCAGCCAACCCTGCCCACTGAAGGTGGCCTCATCGCTGGGGATGAGGGGAAGGAAGGTGCTGCTGTCAGCATGGGCTGTGTAACAAATCAGACCGGCAGCTCGGACATCAGCCATGAGTTCTCACAGACCTGCGGACTAGACTTCTGAGATCAAGGTGCGGACAGAGCTGGTTCCTCCCAAAGCCCTGTCCTCGGCTTGGGGACACCATCTTCCCCGTGTCCCTGCGTGGTCTCCTCTCTGTGCATCCTCACCTCCTCCTGTGACAGGAACCCCAGTCACGTTGGAAAGGACACCCACAGGACCGCATTTAACGTGATTACCTGTACCTGTACCTGCCCTGTGCAGTGAGGAGAGAAGACGCCAGCACGGGAATACAGGGAGGACATGGGCGACGCTCCTTGTGGCAGGCGTGAGGGGCGGCGGCAGCTGCATCGCCTGGCAAACCTGCGGGAGCCACTGCCAGGCCCTCGGCACCCCACACGGGCACCCGCTGTGCCCGTCTACCTCAGGAGGGCGCTGCAGCCACGGAGAGCCGTGCACCCAGATCCCGCCCTGCGGCAGGAGTGCAGCGGCTGCTCGTGGAATCTTCTCTCAAGGAGAAGGGTCCCCTGGGGTCTTCCAAACACGCCCCGCCCCGTCCTCCTTTTCTACCCCTCTACCCCGGTCAGGGCCGACCACGCCCACTCACCAGGCCACGCCCCACCCTCCTCCTCTACCCCTCCCAGGGTAGCTCTACCTGGCCCCGCCCCTGGTCCGACCCCGCCCACGTCTCCGGCCACGCCCTCCCCGGGGCGGTACTGCGCAGCCCCTCCCTCAGGGCTGACCCCGCCCACTCCACCCTGGCTCCACCTCCTCCTGACCCTTCGGGTTGGCGCCCCCTGCTGCAGGTCGCACCTTCCCGCAGCCCTCTGCTCTACCACAGACCCGGGGAGTCGCTTTGGCCGTGAGGTTCACCCCGAATCCTTTGATTCTGGGCTCTGCCTTTGCAAACACAAACTGAGCTTTTGAAGGCCTCCATCAAGGTCGTTCCTGGAATTACATCACACGTCATTCTGCAGCCCGGGCGAGCCACGCAGCTGCTCTGCTGTGTCTGAGTGTTCTCGTCCACCGCGCTTTCCCAGAGCAAGTGGAGCATCAAACCACTCGACACAAAAGACGCTCGGGCTGCCTTCTCAAGTGCTCGGTCAGACATTCCAATGAGCCGGAACAGCAGCCTGGCGCTACACAAAGGCTGCCCCGCCCACGCGAGCCTCGCTGCTCATTACAGACAACAGAAGCCACGCGGTGGGACCCACGCACAACCACGCCCCCTGCATTGGCAGGGTGTCCCCAGAAGGGTGGGCCATGAGCCGGCAGCCAGCGCCGCTGGTCCCTACGGTGGCCGAGGTCTGGCAGCTGGACCTCACAGCCGGAGTGGAGGGCAGCCAGGTCCTCTCCAGGACTGGTTCTCAAGCACGCAGGAAGCTACTAAGCAGGTCGGCTTCCCCACGCGCTGCAGCCCCGGGGCCGTGTCAGGCAAAAGCAAGGCGCTTCCCTGGTGGTGGCCGTGTCAGTGACGAGTGACCGTCATCTCCGAGGCCTGACAGGACTGCGAGCAGCGTGCTGACACCAAGCGCAGGCCATCAGCACGCCGGCCGCTGCGTGCTTCACAATTATGAAACAGTCTTTACCATATTTCGGATTCATCCGTGAGCCACGGGCACTGATTCTGGGACGCGTGCTCTCTCCTTGGCCACTTTCAGAGGTGGCTTTATGGGAGCGCAGGGCATCCTCTTCAGGTGCCACCCCCGCCCTGTGCGTGCCATTTTCCAGCACCTCGGCTGCCACAGGGCAACCTCAGAAGCCCTTGAAACCTTTTAAAATGCCAGCTCTGATCACATCACAGCCCTGCTTGAAAACCACCAGGACTCCTGTCACTTGGGGGAAAGACCTTTGCTCACCGGGCCGCATGAGAACTGGCCCTGTCTGTCTTCCCAGCCTGTCTCCAGTTCTCCGCCCTTGCCCGCACCAGCCTCCCGCCCTGCTCTCCTCCCCACAGAGCCCGGGGCACCCCTCCCACCATGCTCCCAGTGAGGTCTGCTTGGATGCCAACTCCCCAGAGGGCTGCCCGACCAAGCAACCCACAAGCCACCCTGCCGCTCTCTGTCCCTTCCGGCACTCGGGTCTTCCTTCTGCCGGAGTGCGTGCCAGGGCCGGGACCCTTCTCGTCTCCCGCTGTGACTCAGTGGCACAGAAGAAGCCAGTGAATACGCACTGAGCAGATGAAGGAATGGATGGATGGATGGATGACTGACACGAATCCTCCCCTCCCCAGTGCCCTCTTTGTGTCCTGGCCATCCCGCTATCCTTGGGGCAGCTGTCTGACCCAGTTTCCCGTCCCCAGCCTCAGCAGGTCTTCTTCCAAGACAAGAGGGCTGTCCAGAGCCCTGTACACCCAGAGCAGAGGACACAACCCCAACGCAGTCCCCGTGCTACAGAGGCTGCCCCTGGCCCCCAGGGTCCTCCTGCCCTACAGGGGGTGCCCCTGCCAGATTGCACATGTCCAGGGGAGTTCCCTTCTGAATCAGGATCCCTGCAGGACTGCAAACCCCCTCCATGATGCCCACAGCCCCAAGAAGTGGCCATCTGGGGTTGTCAGCTGGGGAAGCTGGGGCTCACTGTGGGGTCCCTCAAAGGCCCGGGAGTGGAACAGAAGGGAGCCCCAGGCCTGGAATCTGCGAAGCCCATCCAGTGCTTGGGGTCTCCTGCTGACCTTCCAGAAGTCTGCTATCCACACATGCCAGGGGACATTCTCGAGGCACTTTCTGGGGCCCCACAACCACACGAGAGCTTCATGAGGACCAAAAGGCTGTACGCTCATCGCTGACCCTTTCCGGGTTCTCGGGACAGTGCTGAGGTTCTGCAGACCAGACTAGGGGTCTCCCCTCCCTTCCACAGGACTCCTCCCTTGGTTCCGCTTCTGTAACCACGGCCTCTGCTCCCCCCTTTCCTGCCATGCACCCAAAATGCAAAGCTCACGTCCTGCATCCTTTCCAATCACGGTGTCACCCCCACCCCCAGTGATTCTCTAGGGGTCACCGATAACTCTTGGCATCAGAGAAATCAGTGTCACCGGGCAGGGACTCTTTTTTAAAAAAAAAATGAAAATATGACACTTTTGCACACTGATGTAAATATTCCAGAAAGGCTGAAAATGGCTTGGGGTGCAGAAGTGGAGACTGACTGAAGGCATCTTTGGCGCAGTGCTGCAGTTCCGGCTGACTGTGCTGGGCGGTGCGGCCTGACGCCTCTTACGCCTCACGGGGCTGCGAAGCACAGGCCTGGAGCTATGCAAGGAGACACGTCCTCAGGCCGGTTTCCTCTGACTGTGTCTGAATATTGAAATGGGCATCCTATACATGACTCCTCGTCCAGGGACCTAGTCACTGAATGATCTGGCCCCAGGCATGCAAACGCACTTGTTACACGTAGAATGTCTGTACTTAGGTTAAATTAAGTGCAAAGTGCAAGATGCTGTGGCACAAGCCACCGTTTGTGTGAGACAGAAAGGAAGTCAGTGTATGCGTGCGTGTGAGCGTGGCAGAGAAACTGCAGAGTCACAGAATCCACCGCAACGCACGCCTCGGGAGGGCGGGATCACAGCGGAGGCTCCGAGGCTTCTGGTCACACTCTGGATTTCTGAGCCTGTAAATGCCTTACGTCCTGAAATCAAGGTACGCAATAACATTTTAAAAACCTGTGAAGGTCCCACCAGAACCTCAGTACAGACAGAGATAAATTCACCCGATTGTGGATCTAACCGAACAGGCAGAGCGCCTCAGCCTCCCCAGCACACCTGGGCCCTCTCTGCCCGGCACCTGTCCTAGCGGGAGGGACAGAAACTAGGGAGCCTCCTTGGCTCGTATCAGGCCTTTGGGGTCCGTGTTCTCAATGCAGATGAGGACAGAGAATGGGGAGCCCTGTGGGTGCTGACCAGAATTAGAGGTGTCGGTGTGGGTTCATGATTAAAAACAACACTCGTTCCCCAGCTCTGCTGACAGAAAGGCGGGGACAGGACGACACTGGAAAAGCGGGCTGGACTGGCAGCACCCTGATTCTCATTGCTACGCACTGCTCCCCTCTACAAAGGCAAGGGATGAGGGGCGGGGAGGGAACGCGCTTGTTCACGGAAGGAAGCAGCAGCGCCCTCCGCCACTCGAAGCCTCCAGTTCTCAGGGATCTGAGTCCCGGCCACAGGTGACTGGCCACTGTCCTGTGGGTGCCAGGACGGCCACCTGGTCCCAGAGCACCCACCACTGTCCTGCAGTGACGGACACATTAAAAGAGCGGAAAGCACCTTTCTGGTCCGAGCAGGCTGGCCGCACTCTCCCAGGGATTAAAGCCCCAGCGCTTCCCCAGTGACCGGTGGCCCCGGCCTGCCCCCCGCACAGCAGGCCTGGGCGTGCACAGGAGAATCCCCACACACACTCAGGCGGCTTCAGAACGGTCGTGACAGACAGAACAGGAGAGGGGAACAGGAAGTGGGGGGCTGTCGGATTCAAGATGAAATAAACAGAACCAACACGGCCATCGCACACACAGTCCAGTTCCAGACCAAACCAGACCGGGGGGGGGGGGTCACTGAGCCCACCCGGGTTGTTTTCAGGGCCCACTGTGATACTAGGGGACCACCTGACCCAGCACCCTACAAACAGAACCAGCCAGGCGCCTCCGCTTGGCTGCCAGCTCCACTTGGCCGTGAGCTCCATGGTGGCGGGGGCCACGTGTACCCCACAAGGAGGGGGGACCCACAGTCATCAGACGCTGGCTAGAGAGACCAGCCGGGTGCAGTGGTGCACGTCTGTTATCCCAGCTGCTTAGGGAACACTGAGGCAGGACGATTGCAAATTTGAACCTCAGGGATAAGGCTCCTTGTTCACCCATCTCCCTGCTCCACTTAGCACAATGGGAGAAACATTTAGACTGTCCTGGTCCCTGGACCTCCCAGCGGATATTGGATGAGAGGATGGGTGACCGTGCAGCCACGGCAGGCAAGGAGGCAGGGTCCAGTGGGGCCCGGCCACTCACCCAGGAGCTTCTGCAGCACCTGCCCGTCGTACAGGTCCTCCTCCAGCTGCTTCACGATGATCCGCTCCTCCACCAGCACGTCGTTGATCCAGTCCAGGAGCACCTGCGGGGAGGTGGGCATGCATGTCACAGCCTCGCTCGGACAGCGCCATGCAGGTGACGGCAGGGACACCGCTGTCCAGCACAGGCCAGCAGGATGGGGGCTCCCTGTGGGCAGCCTGTCAGTGACCAGGGCTCCCCGGGACTCCCCAAGTTCCCTGGGCAGGGACACAGGCTGCCCCCTGGAAACGCAGGCAAAGAGGGAGCTCCCAGCAAAGTGGGTGTCCTCAGTCCATCCCCTCTCCTCTCAGGGCCGTACCCCAAAGGGCCGAGTCCCCCTGAGCTCTGCTGGGATGTGAAGGGGACCCCTCGAGGTGTCACTCATGGACTTCAGGGCTTTTCTGAGCCCTGAGCACACAAAATGCATAAACCCACAAACTCCCGGGAACGGCAATCACAACCCCTCTCGGGGTCACAGCTAAGGGCACAGTTCCCGAATCCGCTGCTTTCTGCCCCTCTGGGAATCAGCTGTGACCTGCGAGACTGGCCACAAAGCAGATTTCTGTGTATTCTGTTTTCCCACTAACTCCGAAATAGTCAATCAGACACGAGGTCTGAGGAAGAACAGAAGCAGAATCGATCCAGGGAGCGCTGGGGGAGAAGGCGGGGTGCTGACCAGCTCCGAAAGCACAGGACAGAGTGGCCCTGCAGCCGCCTCCCTGGGTCCTCTGTGGTCCCCACTGGGGATCCTCTGTCCCCCCCCTCCTGGCCACATCGCATCCAGGTCCAGTTCATGATGCTGTGACCTCCAGCGCTGCCCCTAACGTACCATCCCCCTTCCCCGGGGGCCTGCAGCACCTCCAGCCAAACTCACACCCCAAAACGGGCTGCTTCCCCAGGAAGGACCGAGGCCCCCCACCCATGGGCCTAGGAGCTCGGGCCGTCCAGTCACCCAGCTCTGCAGTCTTCTCGACGGGGCCACCCCTCGCCATCGTGCTCTGACCACGCCCTGACCTCCCGGGTCCCTGGCCCGCCAAGGCCGCAGAGGATGGGCACCACCAGGGCAGCAGCTGGCCCCCTGCTGCCTCTGCCCGGCTGCAGTCCCCGGCCACGCAGCCAGCCACACCAGCTGCACCCCACCCTTCTTAATGCCGGGATGTGGATTCCCCGAGCTGGACCTGGAGTGTCAGCAGGGTGGCTCCCTCGGGCTGGCTTGGTGCCCAGGTCCCCTCAGCCACAGAGCTGAGACCCGCAGGTCAATGCCCGCTGGGGGACCTGCTCCGGCCACTTAGCAAGGTTTTACTGATCTGCTTTTGGTTGTTTGAAGAGCATATACTAAGCTTAATAGCTAAGAATAAGTGAACAGCCGAGTGTGGTGGCACAGGCCTATAATCCCAGCAGTCAGGAGGCTGCGGCAGGAAGGTCATTGCTAATTGTAGACATGTGGCCACTAATGCCCCTTAAAGTACCCAAAATGCACCCCCACTGTTCTAAGCCATGAGCCTGCTCCTGCGATAAGTTTGCATTCATTTTAATGTTCACACTGTTTTTGATCACCCCGTACATGGCTCAGCGATCCCTGGGGCTTCCTGGCTCTGGTCAGGCCCAGTCTGGCTGCCCCCTCTCTTGAGCCGCCCTGGTCCCTGACCACCCACCAGCCCACAGCCGCTGAGGCCGGCCACAGCCTGTTTCTGCCTCCCTGCCAGCACCCAGAGAACCCCTGAGCCAGAGACACCCCGATACTAGGTAAATGACCACTACTAACATTCGGATTGTCTTTTATAAAGTTTGGCTAATAGATTTCAACCACTGTTACAGGCAGAACTTCAAAATGACCCCTAAAAGGCCTAGTCTGCTGGTGTACATGGCCATCAAACCCTGGAGCTCTGACAACAATGGATCCAGGACACAGGTGACTTCAAGAGAGGGAAACAGAGTCTGGTATAGTGGCACACACAGTAATCTCAGCGCTTGGGAGGCTGAGGCAGGAGGATCGCTGTGAGCTTGAGGCCAGCTTGGGCTACACATGAGATCCTGTCTCAAAAAAACGAAAGGGTTGAGGAGGACAGAATCAGGGACGGCCAACCTCACCCCAAGAGCCCTTACATCTGGGCCCAGAGGACAGAGCTGAGTGCTCAGGGTGCTGTGAGAGGGACCGGGTGTGTGGGGAGTCCCCACAACCTGGGCACCAAAACTGACAAACCCAAGGGGTGGGAAGAACCGAAACCTTGCAAAAGATGGCAAGCTTGGAAGGGTTCGTTCCCTGATTTCAGCCCCCCTACCAAGCTCTCATCACCCAGACTGAGACGGAAACCAAGACAGATCCACAGGCCGGGTCTGGAGACAAATCTCACACCACAGCCAGGGTGTGCCAGAAGGGGCCAGGACAACCCACAGGGACCTTTTAAAAAGTCTTTCAACAAACAGAGCTGGGACAACCGGACGTGGGCATGGAGAGGACAGAGCTGGACCTGCTGGACACTGAGTCTACGTCTGCCCTTAGAGCTGGGCCCAGAACAATTGGGTCCCACTCTGGTGGCACTTCAGCAGCTGGGACCGTTAATCCTGCTTTGTCACCTTGGCTGGACTGAGACACCTGGACTTGGACATCGGGCCCCTAGGTGTGTATGGGGGGACGCAGTGGCGCCACCCTGGTGCCATCTATGACCCCTGACAGCTCCCTCCTGGCACCACGTCCCCGCTCTGCTTGCTGGGCCCCACAACCTGAGCAGCTTCGCCCCACCAGGCCCTTCCACCACGATGGTCCCCCAAACCGTGAGCCGAGCCGGCTCTTTCCTCCAACTGGTGTGCGTCCGGCATCTCCGCTCTGCAGCAAGAAGGCCGACTGAGAAGCAAAAGTTCAATGCTGACTTGAAATATGGGAGAAAGAAATGAAAAATTTCTTAAAAATAACAAAGAAACAAACAGCAATAATACAAAGACAAGAAGATGATAAGAGGAGCCATAACTTAAGGATTAAGAACATAAAAGAAGAAGTAGGGACACAAACAAGTGAACTACAAAAGCTACTCACAGAAATAATCCAGGAGAATTTTCCTAATTTAGCAAAAGGTAAAGATACTCAGATGTATGAGGCATACAGGACCCCAGCTACCTACAACCCTAACAGAGAAACACCCAGGCATATAATAATAAAAATTCCAGAAATTCAATACAAGAACAGAATATTAAAAGCTGTTAGAGACAAGAAACAGATCACTTACAAGGGAACACCCATCAGAATCACAGCAGATTTCTCTTCACAAACCATCAAATCACGAAGAGCATGGGGGGAAATAATTCAAGCTTTGAAAGATAATAATCTCCAGCCAAGATTGAGATATCCTGCACAACTGTCCCTGGAAATTGATGGAAAAACGAGGTGCTTCCAGGATAAAGAGGAACTGGGGGAATTTGCAACCACCAATTCAACCCTACAGAAAGTATTGCAGGATATTCTAAAAAAAGAAAAATACAAAGAACCCAGAAATAGTGGCGAGGAGGCCACAACAAATGGAGCAGAGAACAAAATGAAGAAGACAAACTGACAGCTACTGACAGAAAAAGAGCTCAACAGAAATGAGACAGAGAAGATTGGATGATAGGAACAGCTATTTTGGAGAAAATGACATCTTAATAGGTAATACTGATTTAGTATCATCTTGTTTTGAAGTCTCATCTAGCTTTTGTTCTTCTGTCTCCAATGGTCTAAATAGGTTGTATCTTATTGGATTTTGTTATGTACGATAGTATAAGCAAAAACCTTTTAAAGACAAGGAGATTATACAGAGACCATTGTTCATTTTCTGTTAGTCGATTCTAAATACTCTATAATGCTGTCATTCTCTTAAATGGTTTTACATTGTTTTGATATACTTAATGCTACAGTATATGAAGTTGTACTCAAGGACTTCAGGGAGGGAGTCAATATGGTAACTATTTTTGGGTCGGAAATATCTGGTGGTGAAACACTATTCTGCTTAAATGGTTATGTTTTGATCTGCCCTGTTTCGCTGTTATGCCCTCTTTTTTCTCAATCTCCACTCCATTATTTACTTTTTTATTTTTATCCATTTAATTAAAGGGAAAAATATAGCAGGATATAATATAGTAACCCACTTTGACTTTCTATTATCTCGATTTGAAGCCCTGTATTACTCTCACCATCTTGTTTTTGACTGAGGTTTCTCTATTCTGTTTTGCTGAATAGTATCAGGTTCAAAAGTTTAGGCATCAGCTGAGAAGATAATGAGATTCATTATAACGCCCATTCTCGTTGACTTTTATCTACTTTTGAAGACCTACAATGTCTCCAATGTTTTGGTTTTGTCGGTTTTGTTCTTTACTATTTTGTTCAATTGTATTATAACTAATGATATAGGCAATTCTATTAGAGATAGCGGGAGGCATTATGGTAACCATTGTTGATCACCTTGTATTATGTTTTTATATTATCTATTATATCCACCCTTTTGACTTGACCGATTCTGTTCTGTTATGTCACATTTGGTTTTACTCTCTTCCAAAAAAGCAATAAGAACCGTGGGAGCAATGAAACCCAAAATGTGTAATAGTCACTGTATAAAAGAGAGGAAAAGAAAGTGCTCTAAACTATATAACTGCATGTATATTTAAATGTATAAGATAGAAAATGATATCGCAGAGTTTTGTTGGATCATTGAACGGAACTGTTTGCAGTATCATTGTTGGAATGTCCACTCTACAGGCTTTAATTTTGTGACCTGAACAATTATTTCTAAGATGGCAATATGTAATCCATTAACTAGTGATTTCCTACTGCACATTTTTTTCTTCTGTAAATCTGTATAACTTGTACCCCTTCACTGTTTTTTTTCTTTCTTTTCTTTTCTCCTTAAATAAAAAAAAAAATATTTTGGTGTTAAAAAAGTTCAATGCTGACCGAGCCATGTTACCTGATTCCCTGTTTCTGCTGCCTGTGTGTTCAGCCCTCTGCCTGAGATCGTCACCCAAACCCACAGCCACCAAGCCGCCGCCGTGTTTTCTGAAGAGCTTCGCAGCTCAGTGCTTCCGTTTAGCAAACTGGTCACACTGCTTCCTTTCAGTGCAAAGCTACAGGTTCCCAACCCAAGGAGAGAAGAGGACGCGGGCTCTGAGGCTGCCCGGAGGAACACCGCGGCTACCCGTGACGCTTGAGGGAAGGAGGGAGGTGTGCTGTGATGGCCTCATGTCTGTCAGAAGGAGCTCTACCCTGGGAGGCAAACTGAGAGCTTTCAAGGGCCTCTAAGGACACTGACCAGCAGGCATCGCTGCCACCCTCAAGGCCACACTGCCCTGGCTCTGGTCCTTAAAACACCCAGGCATATGCATACCTCAGGACCTTTGCACCTGCTCTTGGTCTGTGGGACACATTTTTCTCTCATATGTGACACAGAGGTCTCTGCTCAAATGCCATGTCCCTGCCCACCCCACCTAAAACAAGAAAGGACCGCTGCTGCCTGCTCAGCTTCCTTTAAGGTACTCAGGCCACCTGGGCACGCGTTCACCTGACCCTGTCACACCTTCTTCCCAACTGGATGGTCAGCACCATGTGAGCTGGGGGCTTTATTTTTCTCAAAGCCACAGTCCCTCCCCTCCATGGCTAAGACAAGAACAAAATCCCAGAGGGGCACACACAGACGGGGACCTGAAAGGCCTCCTGAGGGCAGGAATCCCTGCTAGAGGTCTCCACGCCCAGAGCTCTGGTGTCTCAGAAATGCAGGACAGGGTCAGCTCTGCGCAGAGAAACAGAAGCGTCCACCCCAGAGAGATGACAGCTGGCTCTCCAGCCGGTCCAAACCCAGACACAGAAACACCCAGCGGAGAGAGGCGCACGTGAAACTCCATGTGACACCAAGTCACCGGGCCCCCTTCCCTGTGTCCCTGGGCGGGGGCAGCAGGTTCCTGGGCACCGCACACCCTGTCCTCCGCTGCCCAGGCCATCCGTCTTCCTCCACTGTCAAGATGGCTCCTCTCATTATTTTTAGGGATCCGCTCATGTGCAGCCCCGAGGCCTGCGGGCAAATGTCCAGGACTCGTGTTAATCACGTCCCTGCCCAGCGGCCGACCCGGCACCTCTCAGGAGCCTGCTTCAACCAGGATAAAAAGCGACTTTTCCTTGTTCCCTGGGTTAGAATCCGGGTCTGCAGTCTGTCTCCCCCAGAGCTATGACAGCTACGTTTTAATCACTTCCAGACAGAGTCCTGGCCACAGAGCCCTTGGAGGACGCAGGCTTGTCCCAAAGGCCAAACGAGGGCGGGGTGGGGTGCTGGTGGATGGAGCGGGGTCTGGCGGCCCCCACCGCGCAGGCTGCGGCCGGACAGGGGTTGTATGCAACTGATTTTCTTCCCAGTACAAAGGGCAAACGACAAAAAAAGAACAAAAAGAAACAGTGTGGAGAACAGGAAGAGTCCTGCCCAATACACGGGGAGGAGATCCGTGCACCCCAGGAGGTGGGATCAAGGGCTTGGGGCAGCCGCGCTCAGGAGGCCTCCTGAGGCTCCTCCCGATGCCAAAGTGCACTGCCCCGTCCTCGGCCTCGCCCGCGTACCCCTGGTCCACCGGCTGCCTGGAGTCACACGCCGGAAGGAGAGGACTCGGCCTTGGCTTCAGGCGCTGACAGCATCCCCAGGAGACCCTGTTTCTTCTGCCCAGAGATCACGCCCTGGGCCTCCCGTGCAGGGATGGAGGGCCCGCAGAGCAGATCACAGAGCTGGGGAATCCACTGTACTCAGGGGTACCGTCCACCACAAAGGAAGGTGAGTGCCCAGAGTCCGACAGAGAGGCCTGGGCATGCAGGGGGGGAAGGGGCTGCCCTCCCCCTGCCAGACACCGATGTCACCCCCAGCAGTAGCCCCAGGTCCCCAAAGGGCTCCTTGTGAATGATGAAACACACCCCATTATTCAGGCAACTCCGAGGGTTTGGGGACCTCTGTGCCAGGTTTGAGAGCAAAGACCAAAGCAGACTGTTTATTCCACAGCATGAAGGCCTCTATCCAGCCAAGCGCAGGAGTCCTTCAAGTAAAGACCAAAAACAGACCCAATGTTTCATCTGTCACCAGGCAGCACTCGCCTCCGTGCAGAAGGGACACATCTGGGACACTCCAGAGAAAATGACAGCACAGGAGACGCGGCCCAGAAGACGCCTTTCGGGCCGCAGAACAGAGGAGCCGGGTCCAAGCGGGGGCCAGGCCAGCCCTGCTCACACTGGGCCGGAGACCCCGCCTCATCCCCGACACCACTTCTACAGGACAGTACAGGACGGAGGCTCACAGCTCGAGGTAACCGGCCCGCCACTGTCAGTGGGGTCCAGCCAGAGCCCAGGACTCCCACGGGGGCAGCGGGCACTGGGGACTTTAAAACAGAGACCTCTTAGAGCAGAGTGGACAGGAGGAAGGTGCAGAGGACAGAGCTGGGGGAAGTGGACGGCAACTGTGAGCCCCGCTGCCCCTGCTGAGGTCAGCGTGCTGGCTGCTGCTGCCCAGCCTCTGCCGTGGACCACTGAACGTGGCATCTGCTGGGGCCGACTCGGGTGTGGTCCCCACCCAAGGGCCGGTGGCCCTGACCCACCAAGGCCTGAAAGATAGTTCAGTCCCCGAGTGTGCGACCCTGGCCGGGCTGCAGGCAGCCCAGGGAGCTGGTGAGCCTCGGGGGCCTTGGAGGGTTAGGGGGGTAAAAGCAGATGGTCCCCCCCTAAGTGGGCTGAACTCACTTGGGCAGCACTCACTGGGTCACACCCTGAATAGTACAAAGGGCAGAGCCTGGGCTGGACTCAAACTGGAGAATCTCCTGCCTCAGCTTCCCCGAGTGCTGGGATTACAGGTGTGAGCCACCACCCATGGATATTTAGGTGGCAAAGTGAGCTCCTTTTCTTAAAGGGCATTCTTTGGAATAACAAAATGACTCAGGAAAGAAATTTCCTTAATAAAATAAACTAGATAACTAAAGTTGTTAAGCATCAACCTCACAGAACTGGGTAACATAACGTGAAATCCTGAGTTCAATTCCCAACACTGCAAGGCAAAATTATAAAGAAAACAGAACCCATGTCTTTGAGTGGACCCCAAAACCCAGGGGGCGACTTGGCATCACCCTGTCCCCCAGAATCCGCCCTGGGACACGCATTTCTCTAAGCACAGCCCTGGGCCCCACAGTGGCCGTGGCCAAGGTGGGAGCTTTACTGTGGAAATGGCTGTGTGTGGCATTTGCAAAGCCCTGGTCGTCTGACCGAGAAGGGGCCGTGCAGGCGAGGCCTTTGCTCAGCTGCCCTGGAGCTGTCCCCCTGCAGCCCCAGCTGCTCCCCGCTGGGCCCGAAGCCCCGCAGAGGAAGCAGCAGGCTGAGTTGCTAGCAAAGAGCTGGCCCTCCGCTCCCAGGAAACAGTGGGGCTCTTGTCCCCCCAGGACTTCGGGGGACAAAGCAGCCAGCCTGCACTGATGCTTCCAGAAGTGGCAACACTGACCACTGGCCAGCAGGGAGGGACTCTGAGCTCGGCTCCTCTGCAAATGGGACAGAGACGCAGCTCTGCAATGATCCCCAACTCCCAGCCCATGGTAAAGGGGTGCAAAAGCCCGATGCAAGGCCCTGGCACCCTGAAACCCATCTTGACCCCAGCCAGCCTCTCCAAAGAAGCGGGTTCCAGGCCTGCCACGCTCGGCGCAGGAACAAGTCCTCCGTGGTCTGTGCACCCCGCTCGGTCATGCACCCATGTCCCTTTCAGGAGCCCAGGGCTCAGCTCGCTCCGCCAGGACGCCCTGGTCCCCAAACAGAGGCCTCGCCCTAACGGGGACACTGATGCAAGTCGGACCTGCTTACCTTGACCAGCTCCTTGAATTTGGGGTCCTCCCTGGAGGTGGGGTCAATCATAGTTCGCTCCTCATTCTCCTCTGTCAGGGATAAGGGGTGACAGTTAGCTGGGCTGGCAGGGGGGCCGCAGCGGGAAACGGCAGGAAGCGGAGACCTCGCCACGTCCTTGGTGAGGACAGAGGACGCGGCCGTCACGTGTGGACGTCAGATCCCACAGCACGGGGCAGACCTCTGCTTTGGGGGTGAAGCCAGACTCCCTCCTCCCGCCAGCCTGGGCCAGGCCCCCGACCCTACCGCGCCCCCCCGTGTGGGGCAGAAACAGCAAACGGGGGAGGGCGGCACCCACGGGGACCAGAGCAGCGACCTGCCCAGCTGGGACATCAGGTGGCAGCCTCGGGCTCCTGGGCCGCGGGGAGCAAACACAGGGAGGAGCCGAAAGATTGGAATTGGACATTGTGTGTAAAAGAAAAACTGGGAATATTAGAAACAGCAAAACAAAAACAACCAAGATGACACTTCACAGCCAGGTGTGCCCGTCCCCAGTCCGCTCCGCTACCCAGGAGGTGCCGCCCCTGCCTGGATGTCCCCAGGTGGGGCACGGCTGGCACTGACCAGGCCCCAGGGCAGCCATTTAGGAAGTCAGTGACACAGAAGGGTTGGCACCGCCTGGCACCCGCCCAAGGGAAATCTGTTTCCTAGGACCCCGTTGGTCTGTATCGGAGGTGACGTGTCCCTCCCCAGGGACAGTGGTAATGTCTGAGAATGTTTTTGGTGTCCCCTTGGGTGAGGGTGCCAAGGGTGTTGGTGGCAGGGGCCACAGCAGCTACACAGAACTCCTGGGGCAGCCAGGCGTGGAGGAGCACACCTGTAATCCTAGCACTCGGGAGGCTGAGGCAGGAGGATCATTTTGTAAATTGAGACCAGCCTGGGCTTCAAAGGGAGCCCAATGGTAGCCTAAATGGCATAGTGAGACCCTGTCTCCAAAAGAGGGTGGGGGAAGAGCCCCTGGTACCCAGGACAGCCCCAGAGGCCCACAGCACAGGAGGAGCCCATGCAACAAAGTGCTAGGTCCACGTCCAGGTCCCAGGTCCGCGGGCAGAGCGGGGCCGGACTGGAGCATCCATCCAGCAGCAGCAGAGGCCGGATCTCCCAGGAGGAAAGGGGGTCGAAGGGGGCCTGCACCTCTCCCTGCTGCGAGCTCCTGAGGCGTGGCCTCCCCACGGAAGACGGAAGGACAGACAGGCCCCCCCTCTGAGCAGGGCTGGGAAGGAGCAGAGCACGCTTCCTCTGACATCCACCGGACCCCAGAAATGCACCTGGGCCACACCCTGATCACGGCAGGCCGGGAAAGTGGCCCCTGGGCATGTCCACGTGCCCCACACCAGGAAGCTTGCTTCCTCTACACCCTTGGCCTTGACGAAGCCCGACTGAAACGCCCAGTTGGTGTTCCATCAAAGGCAGACCACCAGGCCCGAGAGCCCCATGGAGAGCAGCTGTGCACAGACCGGGGCCGGAGGTCCAGGAGCCCACCGTACCGAGCTGAGTGTCTTCGGGGTGGACGTCCACCGAGGCAGCGGACATCGGCGAGTTGATGGCACTTCTGCCCTCTTCCTGCAGGTCACTCACTGTTGGGAGAAGACAAAGAAAACCACGGTTGGGTTAAGTGGGATTCGTGGCCTCACGCTGGCCACGGAGGGCACCGCCTGTTGTCACGTTTAGCAAACGCTCCCCAGCGGCTGGAAGCACAGAAAGAGCCCCACACCAGACGTTCCCCAGTTCCCGCCAACCCCTGCCAACCTGTTCTCCCTGTTCTTTGGAACACATGGCCAAGGCATAGAAGCTTCTAGAAGCTTCTGGATGCTTCTGGAGACTTGCAGGCCTGCCCAAGGTGGCTGTAGCAGGCAGGGCTTCGACCACAGGGGCAACAGATAAGCCATGGCCCTGAGGTGTGGACAGCCCTCCTGACGGCACGACAGAGAGAGGTAGAAACCAAGGTGCCGCTGTCCAGGGCGACGTCACTAGGGACAGAAATCTGATGGACCGTGCATGTACGCTGCCTGGTGTCTGTGGGCTTTCCAGACCACAGCTGGGCTGTGTGCCCTGGACACACTTTCGGGGTCCACAAGCCCACCTCAGCTCCTCTGTGGGACACACACTCCCTGCATTCCACAGTCACCTCCTGTGGCCCCAGATGCAGCCTGCCTGGCTGGTCCTGCCGGCCCCACACCCTGCATGGCCATAGTGGTCACCTCTCATCGACAGGTGGACTCAGCACACAGGAGGAAAGAGACACACTCCATGGCTCTGACCCACAGTGCACACCCCATGAGGGGTATACCTGTAATCCCAGCACTCCGGAGGCTGAGGCAGGAAGATTTCTGTGAGTTCAAGGCCAGCCTGGGCTACATAATGTCTCAAAGAAAAAAAAAGGCAGCTGTGAGCTAAGAGACACAGCCCGAGTCCAGGGCGTCAGAAAGGACCTCTCATCTTCCCTGGCACCAGAGGGACCCTCAAGGTTCCGCACCACAGGGTCAGGAGCAAGGGACTCAGGGTGGAGCCTCGCCTTGGAAGAGCACAGGTCCCCAGGGCACCTCCTGGCAGGCGGCCCCAGCCCCCTTCACCTTGGCTGAGTCTCCTCCCTTACACGAGGCTGCCTGCGGGGAACACTGTGAACCAGCTTGAGGACAACACTCCCTCTGCCCCTCAGAGCGATGACAGCAGCAGGACCTCAGGACCCTGGTGCCCCCTCACACCAGTGAAAGCCCCGATGCTTGGCTTTGTGAAAAGCAGAACCTCCTACAGCCACGATCACAGCGGCAACGGTCATAACAGCCACAGGGTGGAAATAACCACAGAGCTCCAGACAGAAGGCAGAGTACTATTCAGCCCTGAAAAGGAAAGGCATGTTGGTACCTGCGGCAGCATGGACAGACCTTGGGAAGGCTGTGCTCAGAGAATTAAGTCATCCGCAAAAAGACTGTCATTCCTCTTAGATAAGGCACCCAGAGATGAAAGGCAGAGGCCAGGGCTGGGAGGGCTCGTGCTGGACAGGTACCGAGTTCCGGTTTGCGAAGATGAAAAGGTTCCAGTGACAGCTGGGGGTGGTGGCGGCACACTCTGCGGGTGTGCTTAGAGACGGGACTGTGGTAAATGCTGCCTTCTACATGTGTTTCCACAGTCTGCACCCACCCCATGGGCCTCTCCTCTCCCCATCGAGGGCGCTGCCCTGCTGAGGCCTGAGGAGGCCTGCGGGTCCCGGCCCGCCCCTCATGAGCTCACCGAACACGCCCTGGGGACATGGACAACTCTCAATGCCCAGATTCTCAGCTCTTTACCCCCAAATTCTTGCAGTAATTCTGCAGCAGGAAACACTAGAGGCCTCTGAGAGTTGCAGTGAACACGCAGGTTTCCAAGACTCCTTTTGCTCGGCCTCCTGAAAATGCTCCGAAGATCCCCCCAGTGCGCCCGGCCCGAGCAGAAAACAGAGACCAAGTTCCGCAGATCGTTTTACCACATCCTAGGCCCGGTTTCATTTCATTTGTTTATTTTTGGGAGTCCTGGGAATGGAAGCCAGGGTTCAGGGCTGTGCTACATTCTTAGCAACCCTAGCCACGTTTGTCTGAGCGTTTCTTTGTTTGTTTTATTTTGGGGAGGTTTTGTGTGTTGAGACAGGTCTTCCTAATTTAGCCAGCTATGCTTGGACTTGTGGATCCTCCTGTCTCAGCCTGAGGGCACCAGCTGGCCAAGTCTTAAAGGCAGCCGGGCGTGGTGGCTCATGCCTGTAATCCCAGCACTCAGGAGGCTGAGGCAGGAGGATCGTTGCGAGTTCGAGACCAGCCTGGGCTACAAAGTGAGCTCAAGGCCAGCCTGGACTGCACAGCGAGACCCTGTCTCAAAAAGACAAAAAAAAAAAGAGGCTTAAAGGGCAGAAGAGGTGATGTTTCAGCAAACCCCTCACCACGCAGCAGCCTGGCGACTGGAGGTCTGCATGAGGCCGTGGACTCCTGAGTCCCGATTTCCCAGCTGTGTCACCCAGGAGGACCCAGAGGAGGCCTGGGAGGTCCCTGCCGGCCGAGGCCATGCGTGGTGGTCACACTGACATCCAAGAAAGCACGAAGATCCGGGTCCATCTAAGAGTAAGGTCGTCCAGGGGGCACACAAGCCACGTGGGCGGTCAGCACCAGTCACCCCGATTCCTCTCGGAAAGGCAGAGTCACGGGGCACAGCACACTGTCCACCCCCCCGGCCCTGGACATCCAGAGGCCAGCGGAAGGCAGGAAGCTTTACTTACTTCAAAACCACAGCAGGGGAAGAGGAAGCGAGCAGCGCTTTCAAAGCCAGAAAGTGGGTCACATAAAAACAGAGGTTCCACACTGTCCCTGGACATCAGAAACACCTCTGCACAGGGCCAGGGGTTTTGTGACCTTAATAAACGAGAAGCAGGCTCAGGAAAACCGCCAGGCTGTGGGACGGCAACGTCTCCCCTGTCACCCACGATGGCCAGCGTAAACCAAGTCCCCAAGGGGAGGCGACAGGGCCACGGACCCCAGGCCCAGCCCCAGGAGCACAGGCCGAGGCCACACAGCCAAGTTCAAATCGCACCCTGCTACCTGCTAAGCCTTGGTTTCCCCAGTGTGGTGGAAGACCCGCCTCCCGGGGAGCCCTGGGGATGAGGTGGCTCGGGTGTTTGTCTCGGGGCTCACAGGAGGGAGGGATGGCTTCCTGCAGCAGCCTGGAGGACGAGGGGGGCCTTTCGCCACAGGACACCCCAAGAGGCCCTGCAGGAGGCAGCGAGCACTGGGCCGGGAAGGGCCGCAGTGGCAGGTGACGGCCAGAGTCTGCCGAGGCTGTGCCCGCTGCCCAAGGTCACCTGGCCATGTGTATGCGTGGCCTTGGGCTGCAGGGCACAGGGAAAGGAGAAATGCTGGGGAGCGTGGGCCAGGGAGGGTCTGGCAGGACGGCAGGGACAGCCCTGCTGCTGGGCACAGGACGGCAGAGGTCGCAGAGGCCACCACTGCCTGAGCTGCTGAACGTTCGGCAAAGCTGCTGCTCGGGACTTGGTGTGGATTCCCTGGGGCACACGGGGCCACCCTGCTCGGCATGCGGGCCCCCAACACCCCAGTGAGCCCCAAGTCTGTCTCAGCACAGACCTGCGCGTAGTAGGCCTCTGCACCGGCAGTGTGACCTCAGCCAGGCCGGCTGAGGATTAGCTCAGCGGCATAAGCGCCTGCCTGGCAAGCAGGAGGCTGTGAGCTTGATCCCAGTACCAAAACACCCCACAAAAATTGATGAAACCTTAGCCGGGCGTGGTGGCTCACGCCTGTAATCCCAGCACTCAGGAGGCTGAGGCAGGAAGATCAATGCAAGTTCAAGACCAGCCTGGGCTACAAAGTGAGCTCAAGGCCAGCCTGAACTGCACAGCGAGACCCTGTCTCAAAAAAGAAAAAAAAACCCTCAATACTGATGAAACCTCAGCCAGGCCACTTAACTGCTCTGTGCCTCGGTTTCCATGGCAAGGCCGCCCCAATGTTTCCAAAGACGATCTCTTTGGCCGCTCCACCCAGAGAGCCGGAGCCAGGGTTAAAAAAACAAAGCAAAGCAAAAAACCCCACACCTTTCCTGCTTCGGAATTTCAAGAGCATAAAAAGGAAGAAAGAATCAAAACCCCAACTGTTCCATTTGCAGGCCTCACAAAAGCCTGCCCTGTCGGCCTCGGGCCAGAAGAAAGCGTCCACCTTGCTTTCGCTTTTTAAACCTTTCCCTTTGTGTGGACCCAATGGCTTAGTTGCTTATTTTGACCCAGGCTGTGCCCAAAATAAATGGCTGCCGGCAGCCGCCGCTCCCTTCTGTCCTCCAGACCCCATCCAGGGACAGGGCAAAGGCTGAGTCGGGCAGGGACCAAGGCCGATTGGTCTCCGGCCCTGCGAGGAGACCGGGACAGAACGGGGGACCAGGACACACAGGCACCCTGCAAAGATGGGGCGCGAGAGGCCGGGGGTGCCGCAAGAGGTTGCGGGGAAAGGCGAGTGGACCCTGAGTCCCTCTTCTGACCCCTTCCTCGCCGGGCCCTCTGGACAAATTGGATGCACTTGGCCACCACCTCTGGGACAGCTCCACAAAGAAAAGACGCACACGGGTTTCCACGGGGAGGGAAGGTTCACGGGAGGAACCCCAGCGGGATCAGAGAGAGAGCAAACCGACCAAAAAAAGGGTCCCTCCCACCTGTTCCTCAGCCAAAGACCTGGCCGGGCGGCCAAGCGGCCTGGCTATGGCTGGGACACCTCAGCACCCCCACCTGGCCAGCCTCGGTCTCCCTGAGGTGGACCCCGCTCCGAGGGGCGGGGCGGCAGGGACTCAGCGCTGGAGCCGGTGCACAGGCACCCCGGGGCGGCGCTGGGGTCCCTGGATTTAGGTCCCAGCTCCCACGTGCTCTCAACAACCAGAGCTGTCATTTACCAGAATAATTACATCCCTCAGCCAAACCCTCGCTGTGTCTCCCGGGAGGGTCTCACAGCTCGGCGGAGGCAGAATAAACCCAAATAAACCTCAGCAAGAGGACAGCGGTGCTGGGCTGGGCGTGCACCCAGCAGGGGCTTTGGGTCAGAGCCGCTCGAGGACAGCCCAG